GACAGCCATTAGCCTGCTATTTTTTCGATTTCCAACTGTCGAGGGATCTTTAACGTGCACAGCCTGTAGCACATGGGGCCTCGGTTTATTGTCCCATCCGAACAACTAGACGCTTTTTCCATATCAGCCCCTCTTACCTGCATCACTGACAGGGGGATACAATGCAATCAAAGCAGTTACGGAGTATTACAATTTGACAGTCGTTAATATTTTAAGTATTTTTGTTTTTATTCATTTGGGATCTGGTCGACTGACGATCAAAGTATGTTTTCGGATCTGTCGCAGTAGAAACGCATTGACCGATTGGTCGGCGATTATTTAGGATCTTCGCCAAAAGACAAATTCAAACAATTATTCTTTTGGTGCTGTCGAGAATATCAAAAAATTGATATTAGTCTCCAAATGTAATGTCTGGATACCTCTTAAGATATGTACGTGAGTTTCAACCGCTGGTAGTATTGCGTTTACACATGACGTCACATTTTCTTAATTTTAATCATAAACCACAAGAAAGTTTCCGGTGTAGGGGTAGCGTATGATTGAGGTATAGGTAGACTTGGTTTGGTTGTCCTTGACCTAATCATAATTGAGAAGCAAACGCCATATCTGGATGAAACTACGTTGAAAATTTCCCCACTGACATACGCTGTAATGCTCAGTTCACACCAACGGCGCTTTGATCGCGCTTTAAAGCGGAGTACAAAGCGGTACCAAAGCGTAACAAAGCTCGACTAAAGCGCCAGGGTCGTAATAGATCGTTGGAAAGCTTTGAGCAAAGCTGTATATTCGGCAAGAGCGCCAAAAATTTTTTAATTTTTTTGGCTTAACAAAGCGTAACAAAGTTCAGCAAAGCTTGACTCAAAGCGTCGGAAAGCTTAACAGAGCTTTATTCAATGCGGGGGCCCCAGTCTCCACGGTCTGTCACCACTTGATCAAAAGCGGCATGAAATCGGCCATTTCGAAATTTTCCAATGCGTAACAGAGCTTAACAATGCACAACAGAGCTTGATAATCGTATCAGAGCGTGATTTAAAGCGTCATAACCGCATCAAAGCTTAATAAAGCTTATCAAAGCGTGATTTAAAGCGTAACAAGGCCTGATCAAATCGGGAAATAATTCGTCCCAAAAGCATAACCAATTCGTATCAGAGCTTATCAGAGCGTAACATTACTTAGAAGATCGTGATATTTTTGGAAAAGTAAACAAAAAATGATGGCGCTTTGCTCGCCGATTTAAAGCGCAGCATTCGCCGTTGGTGTGAACTAGGCATAAAGCGTTTTGCAATCAATGGTAAAAGCATCAAATATTTATAATGTATTATTGTACATTATGGTGGGGTAGATTGATCACGAATATAGGTAATAATTAATAATAGATGTCTATCAATAGATGATATACAATGGTGCTATTTATGACCCTCCATCATAATATATTTATCAAGTTATTACTTCCGTCAACGTTAAACCAATAGACAGACAGATAATTCGGACTAATAAAAGTTGCGACTCAATACGAACTACTTTTCCACACCGGAAACCCGTGGTGTTCCGACGTAAACAAACAAACTAACTTAGTAGAACATCGATTGTTAACTCTGACTTTCGCTCTATAGGCGTTGCTGCCATTTTGAATATTAGTTGACTATTTTGCAATTTTGGTTGATTCAAATTAACACATTCATATCTATTATTATTTCTGAAAATTGTGTTCATGCAGCCAATAAAATAACAAAAAAATAACAAAAAACAAGTAGCCTACATCTGATCTGATTTGAAGGCCTAGTTGAAATATCTTCAAAAAACGACCGATTTTGTATGGCGTGGAGATTTCAATGGGGTCAAGTAAGTTCGTGTCTGTTAATTCTCTGTATACATCCGATATTTCACAATATCTGACAATAATCCAGATGTGACGTTTGACTCATCACTGCGGTCGGATAAGACGTCATTTCCGCATCATTTGGAATTCCTGAACTCACAGACATGATAAAAATATTTCGAGTGATCTTAAAGAGAGCTATATCCCAAATATCCTAACACGAACGTCAGAAAATATTGAAATCTCTTCTAATGGGCATTCATCAAAAATAGGAAGTGACGTCAATGTCCTAAGTTTACTTTTGAATAGAATAACGTAACTTACCTATTGTGAGTATATTAGAAAAGGTATCGGTAGTATCAACCACAATAACATTAATAAACACTAGAAATAATATACTATGTAACATCGCTACAGGACGTTATTACACACTTTTCCAAATACATAATGACATATGAAACAACTATAATGTCAAATCATTATTATTGTCTCTATTATAGAAGAAATAAAACATCCACTTGCTCCTTTGTAAAAGAAAATGGACGCCAATGATTTGTTTACGTATGTGTCTCCTGTTGTCGATGCTATAACAAAAATCCAGTATTTCACGGTCCATACAATTAGACCTGGAAATTCGCTTACGACGGAATATTAATTACACAATTATGCTTTGTAGGTAATCACAATATGCCTCATTATGTAGGTATCACATGTCATATGAGAACTTCTAAATGATTTCACAATACCTTTCCCTTGACTGAGCTCTTTCTGAATGACTTGTAATCCCAATAACCGGATGTTACAATATTGATAGTTAATTATTAAACCATCAGTATCCACATAGTATGCTATTAAAGATGAATATCCTCAAATTACATTGTTCGTAGTTTGAAACTGTTATTGCCTTTGTCCAGATACACCAAGTGATCAGAATTATAATAGAATCAGCAGAAATACAAATAGCGACATTATGCTGCGAATTGCAATAGCTAGATATTATAACGCCAATGTTAATATTGTCTTGATAAACGATAAATTCACTAAATACCAACGAATGCACAAACACACAAGAGAGATAGAGCAACTAATTAAGGAATTCGTTAGAAACTCACAGTATTCAAATATATACATAAGCGGAAGATAATGACATACTCTTTTCTCGTTTATGTAAGTAAACACCATTAAAGACTCGTGGGATATTTGAATAAGCGCGATACTGGGGTAATCGATAACATTCCGAATACTTCGTCGACAAGATACCTTATAATGAGGGTTATGATAACAGAAAAAATGTTTTATTTTCAAACTATTCTTTTAATGATAAGATTCTTTCTTGAACTTTCCAAGATCTGAAAAGAAAAATTAAAAAATGCATGTACTAAAATACATATAGCTAAAAAAAAAATTATTTAAATCGAACAAATTTTGCATTACATAATATTTCTTTTTTCTACATTGATAAAATTACAAAAACATTCACTATACCGCATCAGATCCATGTGTCAATATTAGGATTTTAGTACCGTTGACAAGGTACAAGATATCAATGAGGAACATTGACAAGTTACAAGATATCAATGAGGAACGTGGATAAGGTACAAGACATCAATGAGGAACATTGACAAGGTACGAGATATCAATGAACGTTGACAAAGTACAAGATATCAATGAGGAACGTTGGCAAGGTACAAGATATCAATGAGGAACGTGGATACGGTACAAGACATCAATGAGGAACATTGACAAGGTACGAGATATCAATGAACTTTGAAAAAGTACAAGACATCACTGAGGAACGTTGACAAGGTACAACATATCAATGAGGAACGTTGACAAGGTACAACATATCAATGATGAACGCTGACAAAGTACGAGATAACCACGTGGAACATTGACAAGGTACAAGATATCAATGGGGAACGTTGACAAGGTACAAGATATCAATGAACTTTGACAAGGCACAAGATATTAATGAGGAACGTTGACAAGGTACAAAATATCAATGAGGAACGTTGACAAGGTACAAGATATCAATGAGGAACGTTGACAAGGTACAAGACATCAATTAGGAACATTGATAAGGTACGAGATACCAATGAACTTTGACAAGGTGCGAGATATCAACGAGGAACGTTGACGAGATATCAATGAGGAACGCCGACAAGGTACAAGGCATCATTGAGGAACGTTGACAAGGTACAATATATCAATGAGGTTCGTAACGGTTGACAAGGTACAACATATGAATGAGGAACGTTGACAAGGTACATTATATGAATGAGGAACCTTGACAAGGTACAAGATATCAATGAACTTTGACAAGGTACAAGATATCTTTGTCATTGAGGATCGTTGACAAGATACCAGATATCAATGAGGAACGATGAAAAGGTGCAAGGCATTGAGGAACGATGGCAAGGTACGAGATATCAATGAGGAACGATTGAACAAGATCTTCTGTCGCAACTGTGTGTAGATGAAGTGCGATAAGATGATTGAGTCTACTGTATACATATGAGGTCATCAACAGATATTCAAAATAAAAAAGTCTCCTAAAATTGCGACATAGATAATTATGGATAATATGGATTTGAAGGCTTAAATTTCGACGGTAGGCTATGACCACTTCCACTCATTAGTTTAGCAGAACAATTCACGTTTCTGAGACCGGAAATGCCGCAACTGTCCCTTTAATATAATAAAAAAGATAATAAGACAACAGTATCAGTTACTCTCAGAAATGAAAAATGAGATGAAAATATTATTGACGCAATCTGAATACAAGTTAAACGAAATGAAGCAAGGTACAATATTTATGAGAAAGATTTCTATCTGGTTGTTTATAAATCCCGTATCAAGTATAAGTTATTTCTCCCTAGAGTGTGATTGTTATTATTATTGCTGAATAAAACTGATTAAAATTATAACTTGGTGTGAGATATAATAAAAATATTGATTTTTTTCAACGGTAGGTTATTCATGATCAATTACACAAGTAAAAGAATTAAGTAAATATTTCATATGAAAATTTCTATTTATGTTCACTTATTCCATTCTTTTTTTTAGCTTTTTTTTTTTTTTTTTTTGTCGTGGTAGTTTTAAATTGATTCATTTGATATAATCCTCAAGCCGTTTATTGAATATAATCCGTACATTGAACCGCGCATTGAATATAACCCGTACATTGAACCGTACATTGAATATAATTCGTACATTGAGCCGTGCATTGAACCGTACATTGCATATAATCTGGACATTGAACCGTATATTGAATATAATTCGTACATTGAACCGTACATTGAATATAATCTGGACATTGAACCATATATTGAACCGTACATTGCATATAATCTGGACATTGAGCCGTACATTGAATATAACCCGTACATTGAACCGTACATTGAATATAATTCGTACATTGAGCCGTGCATTGAACCGTACATTGCATATAATCTGGACATTGAACCGTATATTGAATATAATTCGTACATTGAACCGTACATTGAATATAATCTGGACATTGAACCATATATTGAACCGTACATTGCATATAATCTGGACATTGAACCGTATATTGAATATAACCCGTACATTGAACCGTACATTGAATATAATTCGTACATTGAGCCGTGCATTGAACCGTACATTGCATATAATCTGGACATTGAACCGTATATTGAATAAAATTCGTACATTAAACCGTACATTGAATATAATCTGGACATTGAACCATATATTGAATATAATTCGCACACTGAACAGTGCATTGAACCGGTGATTAAAATAAAAAAAAAATGTCATTTCAGCTTGAGCATGTTCCGACCTGACATACAATATTCAGGCAGGAGATGATCTAGTTAAGATAAACATTGAAAGTGAAATGTCTAGTTTATTTGAAGGGATTGTGCGATTTGCGTACAGCTCTTTTTAGATAATTTAAGTATATCACAGTCTAAATAAACTCCTGATATTGACGAAATTACGTTTTAAACTTTACAGCCGGATTATGTCTCATTCACCAAGTAAGCCTTTCCGTTTTCCGATGAAAAAAAAAACTAGATATTGATTTTCTATAACAGATCATGATGTAGGCTTATACATTGTTAATGTATAGTTATCATACCTGGCAATCAAGAAATTACAATTTAACGACTTTGTTGATTAGGACAATAACAATCAATCGCGTGTCTTTATATTGTCTAGAAAAGTAAACATCAACTTACTTATTAGCGACTTTGGACTTTATTTGGACAATATTGGAGTATAGGCTACTGCATCTTACTAATTTGAGTCCAAGCTCAACTTTAGACAATTTTGTTGAAATTAAATATAGTTTTACATCTTCTTTTCAGAAACTGCTGGAAGTTGCAACGGGCAACGCAACGACATGCAGTGTGCAATGAGGGAAATTTGTCAGGACACCATAGCCTTATTTTTCATTTGCAACTGTCGAAGGATCTTTGACGCTCACAGCCTGAAGCACACTGGTTTTGGTTTATTATTCGAAAATAAATAGTTAGATATTTATTCACGGACCCACTTGTATGAAATATACATCATATAGCCTTTAATTTATATTAGCTACAGTTGTCCCTAATTAAAACCATGAACAAATTTAACTTTTACAAGATCTATTTCGACTATTTGCGTTTTACACTGGAAATAAATTATATTGATTATACGCAGTGATCATGATCATATCATACGTACCAAATGACATTTTAACGACTGAAACTTAATGGGTTTTCTAAGGATTATTTGTAGGCTATATCAAGGCACATGTATTGACAAGGCCATGCATCATAAAGAGACATCTCGCCGACCCAGTAAGCAGTTTTGGAATAAGCAGGTCCATTAACTTGCGTTATTGCAAGTAATGCAGATCAAGCATAATGAATTAACTATACACATTTCTCAGTTAAGGTCTTAAGGGACACGACACTTATACCTAAGATGATAATCATGAACCTCTCAAATATAGCCATATGCACACGCAGTCTGGTATGAAATAAAACATCCGGATCAACCGGTCACCGGAAGTATAATTTGGCGCGAATAAGAGCATTATTTATACTATGGAATAAACATTGATGATCACATATGCAGTGATTTATTTACAAATAAAGAATCTGTTTGGTATCATTTTGAGAAAATAATCCAATAATTAGGTTCCGTTGTATACAATTTAGTAATCCATAATATTAGCAATGCGCATCTTCGTGACATTTAGACCACTTCCGGTTGGTTGGTTGGTTGCGAAATAATACCAAACCAATCTCAAAATTCAACTGTTTTGCACCAATAACGTGGTATCTTTAAAAGTTACAATTTATTGCGAAGTTTTTACTGCTGTGCTAATTGAATGTGAATAGGATAACCAAGATTAGCGCACAGTTTTGTAACACATTCCATTGCACATCCAATGAAGTTAGTTTTGCATTTAAGGATACAATATGGCTGACATCAACGTTCACCAGATCTACAAATAAAATTATATATCTGCACTCGATTGAGCAATTGGGCTAATGAAGGTGGTCAATGCTATTGCTATTGTCATGCAAAGTGCAATATTCGAAATGCTGCATGGGCAGCGGAATAAGTTTACTCTCTGTCGACTAGACTCCTAACGTGTAACAGCCTGTTAATTGCCCTCTATAAATGTTTATATGTCCTTATCAAAAAGATCTAAGTGATAATCCTACTGGAAGAATGTTGATAATTATAATGTCCCCCGAGAAAAAAATCAATAGTAGGTTTGGTATAAAAACGTCAAAGTAGAAAAGAAAAATACTCTTTCTTGTTTCATAATAGTTATCAATTATTCAAAGAAAATACTGGCAGAAAAACGCTTTTCTATGTTGAATTTAAACAGTTAGTGGTGTAGGACCAATTGCCAAGTCAGAAGAAAGGGCTTATCTAAAGGAATTGTAAAGAGATTTTTCTAGACTTTTTTTTATGTGTATCAGGATACTGATAGCATCAATTTGCACCATTCAAATGTCTATGTTTCTCGAAATTCCACTAAAAACAAATAGTATAAAACGTCACTTTTTTTAAAAGTCATTATAATATAAAAAGCAGCTTTTGCGATATGTGACGCTTAAACGCTTAATATTTGTGGAATGGCAATAACCACAGATGTCTGATTGAAAATTTGAATGATGCAAATCGATGCTATCTTGGTCACCGATACACATAAAAAGTTAAGAAAACCTCTTTGAAATCCCTATTCTGTTCGAAGGCATCTAATAGGTGCATGCATGGTAACCTATAGATATATATTCGTCTCTAAATATGAGACGAAAGTTTTGTAATCTTTCTCACAATCTCCCAATATACTAGGCTGAAACATATTGGACAACGTTCCCGAAAATCGATGCCTTCAAATGAATGTAAACATGGTAAAAAGGAAATATGAGACCTAATTCATTTCCTCGACCAATTAAATCTAAAGCAATACAAACATCATTAATGAATTGCAAACTTTTATTATCATGTGATAGAATGATATAAACTCAAAGAGAGCAACCATTTACAAGTCGAGTGTCGTGCAAACGTCAACGGTTACGAAATGACATCTATTACATCTCATTATATTTTTTAACTCAAAGTTACTTAACTAACTTATCATAAAACCTCTATACGTGTTTATAAAACAATTCTAATCAATTTAAACTGGAATAGTCAGAAATATTGTTTATACACATCAGATGCAAATACCTCACATAGAGTTATCGATTAGTTGGTCATGTGAACGTTAGGTGAACACTTTGACCTCTTCGGTTTGTCATAGATGATTACAGAAAATCTAGGCATACTCTTTCGCAATAAAAAGCCATAAGTTACAACCTGAATCGGGGGGTTTTCGGGTAAGTTTGAAATATTTGGGGGGCATACAATTTTTGGACAGTTTAATTTGTTGTATTCAGTAAGGCTGTATGAAAGAGAATGCTGGGAGAAGTTAATCACGTTTTAAAAGGGGAAGATGGATAATGCAATCGATCAAGGATCCTTGAAGGGATAATGGAAAGAAAAAGGTTGACAAGCCCTGATATATAATGACAGTTCATTCTAGAATATAAATTTTAGATTTTGATGGACATACTGTAAATGCTGTCAATACACTGTTCTTTATAGATCGTAGATTCTGTTGAGGCATGGCACAATTTAGGTCATAAACTGTAGATTCTGTCACAGATACATTACATATTAACACATAAACTGTAGATTTTGTCAAAGATACAGTACACTTTAACGCTACAATTCTATGGTAAATTGACAGTTCATTTTAGGACATAAACTGTAGATTCTGTCAAAGTTACAGTACATTTTAACACTGTAAACCTATAGTAAATGAAGAGTACGTTTTAGGACATAAACTGTAGATTCTGTCAAATATACAGTACATTTTAACACTGTTAATCTATGGTAACTGGACAGAACGTTTTAGGACATAAACTGTAGATTTTGTCAAAGATACAGTACATAGTAACACTGTAAATCTATAATAAATGGATAGTACATTTTAGGACATAAACTGTAGATTCTGTCAAAGTTACAGTACATTTTAACACTGTAAACCTATAGTAAATGAAGAGTACGTTTTAGGACATAAACTGTAGATTCTGTCAAAGATACAGTACATTTTAACACTGTAAATCTATGGTAAATGGACAGAACGTTTTAGGACATAAACTGTAGATTCTGTCAAAGATACAGTACATTGTAACACTGTAAATCTATAGTAAATGGACAATACGTTTTAGGACATAAACTGTAGATTTTGTCAAAGATACAGTACATAGTAACACTGTAAATCAATGGTAAATGGACAGAACGTTTTAGGACATAAACTATAGATTCTGTCAAAGATACAGTACATTGTAACATTGTAAATCTATAGTAAATGGACAATACGTTTTAGGACATAAACTGTAGATTCTGTCAAAGATACAGTACATTGTAACACTGTAAATCTATGGTAAATGGACAATACGTTTTAGGACATAAACTGTAGATTCTGTCAAAGATACAGTACATTGTAACACTGTAAATCAATGGTAAATGGATAGTACATTTTAGGACATAAACGGTAGATTCTGTCAAAGACACAGTACATTGCAACACTGTAAATCTATGGTAAATGGACAATACGTTTTAGGACATAAACTGTAGATTCTGTCAAAGATACAGCACATAGTAACACTGTAAATCTATAGTAAATGGACAGTACATTTTAGGACATAAACTGTAGATTCTGCCAAAGATACAGTACATTGTTACACTGTAAACATATGGTAAATTGACAGTACATTTTAGGACATAAACTGTAGATTCTGGTCATAATTAATACATTTTAGGACATAAACTGAAGAATCTGTTAAAAAACACATTGCATTCTAGGACCTAAACGGTAGATTAGGATAAACCTTGATTTTTGATAAATGAACAGTAGATTATGATAAATAAACAGTACATTGTAGGACATAAACTGAAGAGTCCAGTAAAGATTAAATATCTTCTTGGACATAAAGCGGTAGCATAAGGTAAAGAAACATACATTTTTAAACCATAAACTGAAGTGTAGAGCAAATGAACATTAGTACATTCTAGAAAACTGTTAAGTGTGTTTAAGGAACAGGATATTTCAAGACAGGAACTGATGAATCCAAAAAATAAACTGATTAATCTGGGACATCAAATGTAGATTTTGTCAAAGAAACAATACATATAGAAAATAAAATGTAGATTCTGTCAAGAAACAGTATATTATAGGACATAAACTGAAGATTCTGTTACAAAAACGACATATGTTAGGACATAAACTGTAGATTCTAGTAAATGGACAGTACATTCTAGAACATAAACTGTAGATTCTGCTAAAGAAACCCCACATTCTAGGACGTATACTGTAGATTCTGTCAGAGAAACGGTAAATGGACAGTACATTCTAGGACGTATACTGTAGATTCTGTCAGAGAAACGGCATATGTTAGGACATAAACACTAGATTCTGGTAAATGGACAGTACATTCTTGGACGTATACTGTAGTTTCTGTCAGAGAAACGACATATGTTAGGACATGAACTGTAGATTCTGGTAAATGGGCAGCACATTCTAGGACGTATACTGTAGATTCTGTCAGAGAAACGGCATATGTTAGGACATGAACTGTAGATTCTGGTTAATGGACAGTACATTCTTGGACGTATACTGTAGATTCTGTCAGAGAAACGGCATATGTTAGGACATAAACTGTAGATTCTGGTAAATGGGCAGCACATTCTAGGACGTATACTATAGATTCTGTCAGAGAAACGGCATATGTTAGGACATAAACTGTAGATTCTGGTAAATGGACAGTACATTCTTGGACGTATACTGTAGACTCTGTCAGAGAAACGGCATATGTTAGGACATAAACTGATCAGAGATTCACGCAAAGAAGACATGAAACTAACGTGATAAAATGGCTTCGATTTGAATTCATTCTAAATCTTACCTTCAACAATATTCAAAATAAACTCTTACCTTGATTCAGTGCTTTGTCAATTTGAATAACTTAAAATTTATAACCTTGACATTCATACACACATATTAAAATATTATAATTATATTACTATTATTACCAAGCAAAAATGGTTCCCACGTACATCGATAAAAGTACTTGTGTCTTACTGATATTCCAAAATAATTCTCTTAGCATTCGCCTAGAATTATCAAAAATAATCGAAGATTACACAAGTTTGATAACTAGTTTTCACACGTTGGGTTCTAATTCCAATAAAATGGTTTTGCGTCAGGCTAGACAAAGAATTGCTTCGATTTTCCAATAAAGGTCTAGAATATCATAAAGCTCAATCGAAACTTGCAGAACGTTTTCTATGCACGCTAGGATGAATGTTTATAAGCGCAAATATCAATTCTTTTCGGATTGACTCATCGCCAGTTTAATAAATTGTATTTCGGTTGTGCTTACTTAAAGAGCCATTATATACTTGTATTATTTATTGAAAGTAATTTCAAATAAGGAAATCTAGATCATCTTGCATGCCTTGTCAGTGACACCTTTATCTGCAAGAGAGATTCTCCTAATTTCAGTCATGGTCAAACTTATGAAAAACTGAGACCACATGGTGATTTGACCCCACCCAACCCACCACTTGCATATAGACTGTCAAATGGCCAAACAAATTGTTAGTTGCTCTGACAATTCTTTAAACCAATACAGTCATTCCAGAAAGTGAAATGTCCATATGAGTATTTCTTTAACACTAACGTCAATAACTGCCAAAGAATGTTTAGCATATCAGCACAGCACATATAAAAATATCTTGATAATCAAATAAAAGGTCACGCCAATACGGCTGTTAATCACAAATACGAGTGCTTTACATAATGTAATGGAATTAATGAATTTTCATCCGGACAACAAAGTGAGATAAATTTTATGCAATTTACCGACATTGTGCCAGATTTTACACATATACATAATATAAGCAACTTTAATATACATACCAACGTCTACAATATTTCAACTGTGCTTGTCCAATTAAACAGAAAGGTTTGGTTATGCAATTATAACCCATTGTTTTATCGAAATTTCACAGAAAATGTGATTTCGAAACATCAGGACTAATGGTTTACGAGTTAATAATGGGTATTTATGAAAGCGATTGAAAGGTATCGATTGCCTCTCGGCAGTGCTAATATACATTAGAGTCTGTTAGATCCTATACCTGAAGCGTGGGACTGGGATATTATAGAATATAAACCATATTATTGTTTTCTAATATACTTTTTACTTATATTACAATCATACAAATCAAATCATAAAGTACAACACTAAACAATAATATACTAGATGGGGGATTGTCAGGGAGGAGGGGGGTGGGGGTGTATAATGGTTGATTTTCCATTTACCGTTCTTCCAAGCGGATGGAATTGATACGTTCACGTTCATATGGTTTTAACAGTGGGATACAGCAGCTAATTTTTCAAACTCAAAATAAATTTATTACGCGACTTACTACCCATAGATAGAAATAGGAGTGCAATTTTCAATTGTGTGTTTTCAGTCCTGCTATTCAACTAAAACGAAGTGTTTGATGACGTCACTAATCGCAAAAATATGCTTGTATCACAATACGGACGGTCTGACGGTCAGAAAGCAGTATTAGAGGGAGTATCTGAAAAACAAACACTCACTGAATAATAAATATATCATCAAAATTGTACAAAATACAGAAAAATGTCGGATATGGATAAGAACTCAAATCTTACCAAAGCTTAAAATATTTTGATGTAAAGTTCTTTCATATTTCCCCCGTCTTCATTAGCCCACATGGTGCTGAAAAGTAGGACGTAAAACTCCATTCATTTCATACCTCAACTTACATTACGTGATTCTGTTAGCAAACTGAATTTGTAAAATATTCGTTGCTAAATACTTTTAAATTCAGATGCATGGAATATGTTCACGACCATGATAAACGAAAAGATAACAGTATTTTCTGGAAACTGAAATTGAATGGATTTCAAAAGACTTGAAACATTATTTATTTAAAAAAATTAAGGACATCGAATGCTTATTTCATATAAACAATACCAAAAAAGCTTATGAATTTGAACTACACCAGATGCCACTCTGTTAATGTGTTTGTCAACTAAGCATAGATTTTCAATTCTTATAAACTTGAATACTATCATGATTAAGAATACTAAATTATACACAATAACATTATATATCAGTTGCAATCAATGCAAACACCACTGGTTCAACAGTGGAAAAATATTTCTTGTTTTTAAATAATATAACAATACACAATCACAAGGACCAATAGAAATACATCTGAGATAGGTCGATAAATATCAAGACTGTTTTTATTACCCTACCTCCTTAATTACAATACAAAATATTAACTGGGATCTTTTTAGTCACTGAAGTTAACAATAAATATTGTGATTGTAATAGTGACTACAATTATCTCCAAGGATGGAGATTCTCATGTTTGTTTAAAATCATAGGTAATAACTTTGTGGAAACTATCTCCTTCTTTTGTATTAGTAATATTTACAATTTAATAGCCAGCAGTTCGGCTAGGCCTATGAGTATAACTAAACTAATTACTATTTGATAATAATACTTCTTGCTTATGACCTTGGCCCATACCTTACAGTTTCGTTGGCTTTAGGCCATCAATTAAGCTTGACCCTTAATGTACATACACGAGTCCATGATTCCATGAGTCAGATTATACAGTTTGAACAATGAACATATCTTGAATCCAACCTAAAGGGACATTCCGCCGAAAATTTGTTGTACTCAAATTTATGAAAACTATACACCAAAATCTAGAGAAATGGGCCCTTTAACATATCTGAAAGTTTTAAGTAACAAAATCCAGCGTTAAATTAAATGCCAAAATAATCTAAAAACATTACGTAAAGTTTTTTTTTAAGTTCGTTATGCTTTTTGGAAGCTGTTAGAAAACTACTGAATGGATTTGGAAACTAAACGCCTCATTGTAAAGAAATATTTCTCCTTATTCTTAAGGTATCAACTAATAATATTAAGCCATTATAAATCTAAACACCAAAACTAGGTCAAACTGCTTAATTAACAATTAGTACTTTCAGTTATTAATTAACCCTTTTAAAACAAATATCAGTTTGACCAAGAAGATCCATAGATATAAATAGCATACTTTAGAAATATTTTCAGGTATAATTTACGAAAACTTTTTACAAAAAAGTGGAATACCCCTTTAAATTTTATAGAATGCTTGTAAAAAGCATCTAGTTATTTTGATGGGCTGAAAAACCAAAACCAATTCTTAAAATAAGCATGATTCACCAAGAAAGGGAAATAAGAAAAATGTCTTTCATTGCACATAACATGGCACTGCCTATTAACAAGAAATAAAGGAGCATAAAAAACATTTTCAATGTCAATTCAATGCTCTGTAAAAGTCTAATCTAAATCGCAATATTTCAAAATGAAATGTGTTCTTTAAAAGTAGAACATTAATTTTCATTTCATTTCTTTATAAACATCATTTTGCAGGTATTCACAAATCAATTGGCATATCACAAATAATAATATAATCCTGATTATATCAAATGTATATCAAAGTATATATAATTTTTTTTTCGAAAAATGGAATCTTACAATTGCCTACTCTCTGACTACATTGAGCTTTGAATTGAATTTTTTCTCTCATTTCATAAATATTCAAACTAAAATTATAACTGTATATTATTTGTCTTAGAATGTCTTTGGGTTCATAGAAATATGGGTTTAGTTTTTTTACTTTAAAAATTGACACATTTCCTCCCAGAAAATTCATGTGAAAACGACCCACTTTTCAGACTGTAAAAACATCTTTACAAATAATAACTTTTCCAGTAGTTGACATTTTCATCAACCCAAAGACAATCTAAGACTCTCAGTGGTAATTTGTAGTTGATATTTCAATTCATTCGAAAATGATTGAAAAAATTCAATTCAGAAATCATTGTAGTCACAGTATCTTTCTTTCACTTGATAATCTGCTTATTAAGTTATCATTTGCTAAATGCCACATCATACACAAAGCTATAATTGCTAATCACAATGTACTAATTATATCTATTTCAGCTATGACTTTCCGAAAAGCCTAGTAGTTAAGCTTGTATTTCTTGAGTCTAAGTCACCAATAAATCGCTGCATTTCCCTCACTTCCGAGTGAAGTTTTTCAATCATAAGTCCTTGCTCTTGTAAACGTCGTTCTAAAATTAAGTCTTTCTGAATCATGGACTGCTCTTTCGCTTCTTCCTTAGATGCTGATCTGGAATATTCTAAGTAGATTATCAGAGCACCTACAGAGTATATTATAAATTCACCTAACAGATCTGCTCCTAATTCCACAGCCATAGTCTCAGATAACTTTTCAATATGTTTTGCCTTTCCAAGTCCCAAAAGTCTCAACTTGATATTCACTTCGAAAGAATGGTAAACTGAAAAGAAAGAATACATGAATGTCAACATTTTGGCGAATCATTGGTAGCAGCTTATACATGAGAAAGTATCACATCAGACAGATGTTATATAACAAGCTGACCATGAAAATAGAAAGAGGTTGATACAAATTCTGTTCAGAAATCAGAAAATTTTTCCATAATGAATGAAGTGACAGGGCAACTGATACTGCCATTCCTACAGTTTAGACCTCTTCAAGAATTATTTGGGGATTGATTAATAATTCTGTATATTCATTATATCTTTACATTTGGTTTCGTACATTCCATAAACATTTTTAATAAAAACAAAACATGATTGAATCTTCTTCGACATTTCGTCAGGCATAAACACGAAAACGAAAGTAGGAAATTGACTTTGATTATGACCCCGGACATCTATCTAATCTATAAAGAAAATGATACTTACGTTGGGCGGTTGGCATACACAAATAGTTTCTGAAGAACAAACTTGTCTTCGCCCGACGTTTTAAGCCGTTGGCAATATATTTACTGCCTTGTTTTACGCCCAAGTAGGCAAGCTTTACGAGAGGGAACACCATGTTGTTATTTTTTTTATAAGGCCCAGTTCGCCCTAATCATTTAACTGATTTCAGTTCAGAGTTTCACACATATGAGTCTTCTAAATTTTCTAGTTTTAAATGTGAAACACTTGTTTGATATGTAAATTGTAAACACAAATATGCTTGATGTAACGAAATATTCATATTCCTAGAACAGGCTTTTTTCTTCTCTTAAAATACTTAACGTGATAAGTTGAATAGAACGAAATGGCATTACAACCGGAAGTAGTGAAAGAAGAGAGAAATGACTGACGCGCGCAAACTAAGTAATAAGGAACAAAAAAAAAAAAGATCAAAAAAATACTACATAAATTTAAATCTTATAAGAAAAATAATTCAATAAAATTCAGACGAATAATTTCTATTATTTTGATTCGAAAGGACTAATGACTTCAACCATTCAATGAAAACGTTTCGAAAGAAAATGACATTCATTACAATGGATTTTTAGGGCCAATGCTGCCACCAAAGCCAAAAAATTAAAACATGAAATGAAATGCTTCAATGAACCTACGTTTTCTGCACCTAATTGGACTAATGAAGTGAAGTGTTCAATGAGAATTTTCTACGTGCACAGCCAATATCATCCAGTTACATAGATTGCCCTCTTAAGAAGTTAAGTGGCAGAGACAAATTTTTTATTACGGTAACCGATATCCTACGCTGAAAAGCCCATTAGGCCTAATTAAGTGTTTGCAACTAGGTCTAGTAAACAATGATCCCTCAATATAGTTATACAATGGAGAGACAAATAAAATTCTAGAGGAACGATTGCTTTCGGCATTTATTTCGGGCCAAATGTCAAGAAATGATACAGTGCCTGCGCCAGTTGGGGTACAGGTAGATAAGTGGTTTGTACCCCCACTTTATTTTCATCAAATCTAAATGTCTACCTTTTTTTATTTAAAATATGTGACAGAATGCACAAAATCAATTCATTTTTTTCAAAAATCTTCTTGATAGAACCCTCTAAGACGCTCTATGAGAGGCTTGCGACAATGAAACCGCCACTGAGTAGTACACATTGCAATTAAGCCTCAGCAGTTGTTCCCGCCCATTGAGTCAGTCTGCCCCCTCTTTGTATCCCAAGTGTCAGAAGTCTGGCGCCGCCACTTAGAGCCGCGTTTATCCGGGTGCTGATAATTCGGAAACCCCGATTTTTACTGGGAATGGAATGTAGTCTGCCTCTGATATCTATTGTAAAAAAGAGTAGGTCGAGAAAATATAGGCCCTGCTTTCACGGAGATTTTCTGCACCTGAAGGTGCGTGTTTTCTTTGACATATTCATTTACCTCGAATCCATCAAACCCTGATCTTGAAGCATCTCAGCTACTACTTTCATTGTTGCTACCCCATGACGTGACCCCTTAGAAGCACACGTAGTCTTTGATGGTCGACGAGTGATTGGTGTCGTTTAAAAAAAAGCTTGATGGAAACACAGACGGACAAAATGGTGTAAGGGGATAATGATGGTATGAATGAACTGCAAAAATACCAATCTTTCCGAATATAAGGAGGTTTGTTGGATTCGGGGAGCGGAAAAATGCCCAGCCGACAACTGTCAAGGGGAGTTATTATTATTATAATTTCAGATCAGAAAAGAAGAAAAATACCCAGCAGTTCCAAGCGCTTATTTCATTTTTATAATGAAGTATTTGTTCCATCCTAGTACATTTTGTACAACCCCCCTTCCCCAAAATTTAATATTTATAATCGCTGTTATTTGGGATAAAGGGGGTTGAAAAGCTAAATTTTAAAGCTACACGATATTGTTGATGGTTTGAAAATGTCACGTATAATATGTATAATACACAAAGCTATAGTCTAGCACAATATCCATTCCAGCCAGCTATGACTTTCCGAAAAGCCTAGAAGACAAGCTTTTGTTTCTTGTGTCTAAGTCACCAATAAATCGCTGCATTTCTCTCACTTCCGCGTGGAGTTTTTCAATCAAAAGTCCTTGCTCTTGTAAACGTCGTTCTAATATTAAGTCTTTCTGAATCATGGCCTGCTCTTTCGCTTCTTCTCTGGATCCTGATCTGGAATATTCTATATAGATTATCATAGCAGCTACAGAGTATATTATAAATTCACCTAACAGCTCTGCTCCTAATTCCACAGCCATAGTCTCAGTTAACTTTTCAATATGATTTGCCTTTCCCAGTCCCAACAATTTTAACCTGACCTTCACTTCGAAAGAATGGTAAACTGAAAAGAAAGAAAATAATACAATAGGCCTAATTTTAATATCACTATTAATATTATATGAGTCATATCAACAAAACTTTCAGTTTTATCAGGGTCACTGGCACCGATAGCATCGATTTGCACTATTCAAATTTAAAGTACCCCCGATACACAAAGAAAGTTTATCTAATCCCTTTTAATTTATAACTCATGTTTTCATGAGCAGATATTCTAGTGAAAGTATAACAATAGAAAGATGTATATAACATGCAGACCATGAAAATTGAAAGATGAAGTCTAGTGGATAGATGCACATTCCGTAGGCTACTGATCGTAAGCCTATAGATATAGTCTACTAACATCATGGAGCAAAGGCTACTCGGATCAACAATTAATGAGGTATCTATCTCAACAAAAGTAATTTCGGGCATTTATTCTGCTTTTATATTATCCTATGTGTTTACATTCAATAATAACCATGATGACATTTCGTCATAGACATAAACACTAAATCGAAATCAGGAATTTTACCCCCAAAGCTAAACTACAAAAATTAATACTCACGTTGGGCGGTTGGCATACATATATAGTTTCTGAAGAACAGACTTTTCTTCGCTCGACGTTTTAAGCGGTTCGCAAGAAATTTACTGCTTCGTTTTACGCCTAAGTAGGCAAGTTGTACGAGAGGGAATACCATGTTGTAGTTTTTGAAGAGGTGTCAGTTCGTTTAGGTCAATTAACTGATTGTAATTACAAATAAATCTATGAGCTAGGCCTATTAGCCTAGACGCCCTTGTGCTAGAACTTGGGGTATTTCGGGACCCCAGCACCGATTTTTTTCAAATTTCCAAAATGCCATCGAAGATAGCAATTTGCTTATTTCAAACATTGTAGCTGAATGAATTTTTAACCTGTTCATGATCAGTCTACTGTGCAACAATCACAATTAGCGGATATGTTACCCCTTTAAATTGAAACACTCCATGCTAGTATGTTGGGGTTCAGTTAGACCCCAGATAAATGCAGTGCTAAAACTGGATTTCAGTGAATAAAATTAAATTGTAATCTACTCCTAAAGCTAGTTATCTTAGGTTAAAGTCAATTTGGCACTAAACCGAAATGTCCCCATGTCAAAATGGCCCCAAAAGTCAAAATTAGACGAAATGACCCCAAATAAAATAGTCAAAATAGCCCCTAAAATTACTCTTTGATTTCAACCAAAATCATTGTTCGAAATGATCCCCCCACCCCCAAAATTAAAAATGTCCCTAGTTTAAAAATATTCTAACTTTGATAATTAATTATAATTAGTAGCTTATCTGAGTGATTATCAAAGACTAATAATAATAGTTTGTAACTTATGTGATGATTAATGAAAGAAAAAAGACAGTAGTTTATAGCTTATTGACATGATGATGTGTATATTTGTTTTGAAATAAATACTGTTTAAACCAAGTCAAATTTTTCCGTGACAGCCAAGTAATATATAGAATTGGTTGAAAGTGGAGCATTGACACAGTATATCATTTCAAAGATTAAGATTAATCTGTTATACACACAAATTAATTCAAATTATTAAATAAATTTATGGATAGATTCAATATGAAGAGTACATAATATTTTACCAAGATGAGACCTGTTCAATATAAATACGGGTCAGTTGAGACTGGTGAAATTACCTTGCTTCACTAATAATATGCCAACAACTCTTGATATTTTTTCCCGACAGGATATGCCGTGATACGACCAAAACACCTCTATCTTATTGGTCCCTGATCCAATAGATAGAGATATCTATACTCTCTGGCTCCATGATCTGTTCAATAAGGCTAAGTCATCGCCCATCTCGGCTATTTCGCCTGGACAATTTAACTTGTCAATCACATCAATGGTTTAACTAAGCTTTAAAAATTAAATGAAATGTTATGCTTCATGTCTAAAGACCATTGTTTGCCATTTTAATGGGTCGATTTGGGTCTTTAATATTATATGTTAAGTCTTCAGAAGTATTAGAAATGTACGAAAACCGCAGAATTACTAGAAATTTGACTTACCTATAGATCTATATATATATATCTTTTCTATATAGGGCAATCGTCTCTTTAACTTTCAAGCGTAGACAGATACTGATTAGCTTAGGTACAAAATACCCGTTGGTCAAACGAATCGAGAAACTGAGCCCTTAAATACAACTTTACTTGTTGATTTTACGAGAAACCATAACTGTAGTACAGTAGTAGGTAAGCCTATAAATCTTACCCATCCGTGATATTTCCTGATGATAAAAGAGTATATTGTTATGCAAGTATTATACGCTTAAAGGGACAAAGGCGCCATTTTCAGGGGTTGATTTTAGTCTTAAAGATATGCAAAAAAAAAGTCATCAGAAGTACTAGAAATGTATGAAAATCACACAATTCATTCGATAATATTAAAAAGAAATTCCTATATCTGTGGATATTTTTTTTTATATGACAGTGTCTCAATAAAAGATGACTAGTCTTTTTAACTTTCAAACGCAGATAATTCTGAACACTGGATTTGAAGTAGTAACAGTGCATGTCTGCAATATTTCATTATAGGAAAAAATCAAAAACAGTTTCATTTGTGGTAAATAATATCTTTATATACGATAAAGAGAGAAGGACGTAATATACAATCCTGTCTAGAAAACCGACATTGTAAATAAAATAAGATCAGCATTATCTGATGAAACTTCCCACTTATCGTGTGTATAGTATAAAAAACTAATGCTACTCTGGGGCTTTATTTGTCATTCAATTAAAATAAGTCGTTATAAGAGATTATGTATATTTGGTAAATATTATAATTCATAATATACATTAAAGGCATTTTCAATCAAGCGCCATCCTATAAAAGATAATGTATATAGGAGTAAGCCTACATGATGGAATAAAATAGTCTCATGGAATAGTTTCAGTTCAGGTGAAAAGTAGGTCGCGTACATAACACCCATTTGAGATGTTACACGTATTTCCTATGTGAAACTCATATCATGTTGGTTTCCGTATATAAATACTTAATACTTCCCGTCGATATTCAATCTCATCCTTGTTGGTTTTAGGGGAAAACATTCATTTTTATGTATCTGTGGGATTGTGTGCTCTGTAGCAGGTATGTTATTGTCTTTTCACCAATCACATCAAAGAGGGTTATGTGTGAGCTTCATATAGTCAAGATTTGTGATTTAATCTTTTCTCCCACTGCTCAACATTATATGCTTTTTAGTTAATGTTGTGAGGTCCATTTTTTAATTATTGTTCGTTGAGCAAAATATAGTGAACAAAATGTATTTTTAGATTTATGCAGGGACATGCTGGTTAGTCTATATTGATAATTGATTTCAATACAAGAGAAGGGGACCTTTATCTACCTTAGTCGTGACAAAACCCTTCTTTGTGAAACAGGCATAAGCTGCCAAAAGAAATGACACTTGACACCATTAGCCTCAGAAAACATAGAAAAATCAACTACGTTTCTTTCCAGATAAAACGGCGCACATACATCTGGCAAAATAATCTGGCAAAATAATAAATGGAGGCAAGGTATATATGGGCAAGTATCTATCTCGCATGTTCAATAGCTGCATACATAGTGCTTATCAGCAAAATTCTACACGCCCAAAATGCTCACTGCTCATTGAAAACTTCACTAGTTGATTCAGTGGGGGTAATGGTGATAAGTAGTGTTCAACTGATGATAACATCTATTCAAATAGGTGTCATTCTTATCAATGACCAGAGAGACGATTGGTGCTTCGTTAATCATGTCATACTAGATAATTTAACACAATGGGAAATCTACATTTTATTTTCTTGTTTGATGCTTATGACGGCGACCTTTCATAAAAGACTTATCAATTTAATCTACCAGGAAAACGGATGTCAATATGGTACATGTAGCCGATTGATTCTGGGAATAGATATCGCTGTTGTATGTGCTATTGGTATATTTTTACTGGCTAATGTGGCAAAGGTAGACAATTGTCATCAACTCAAACAAAACAATCAACAGCTTCAAAACCATGTACTGTTTTCGTTGTCTGTTGCGGCACTTTTGATACCTAATTTTCTCGTTTGCCATCAGTGTCTTACCACAGAACACAGCGAGTTAACTTTTATCGAAAATTCGAAATTGATACCGAATTTACGAAGGTCAGTCATTGGGTTGTGCTGTCAAAACATAGGTTTTGTTATATTGTGTTATCCATGGTGTGTTATTCAAAACCAGAAAAAGCTGCAGAGAGTACGACCGGATACATCTATACCATTTTGGATTTATTGTCTTAAATCGATTGTTCTTCCACTTGTGTGGATTGTTTTCCCGGGGCTGATGTCTAACTTGGCTTTTCGTGTTTGTGTAAAGAAATGTGATAGAGAGGATGTATATTTGACTACAATTTACCACGAAAATCAATCGAGGAAACCCAGATCAAGAAGAGTTTGGTCAGAGTGCTTGTATTTGACCCCCATTGAAAATGTATACAATGAACCTTCCGAGGGGGAAGATATTCCTAATTCAGTTTCAGATTCAGAAAATCATTACGAATCGATTGATTCACTTCCACGAACTGACGAGCACGTGCATCAGGAAAAGTATCAAAAACTAAGGTCTGATCTGAAAACTTCAAGTTTTGAGACAGATGTAAAAGTCGTGTGTGAAATGCAAGAGATTGAAACACAAGATTCGCCTAGAGCCCATCTAAACACCAATGCAAATATAGTCGATGGATATTTGATTCCTGAAAATGTATACGAGGAGTTCTGAAGAGAGTAATGCATGATACAAATGTTCTTTTCTTTTTTGTTTATCGTTTCATTTCATTTCATAATTATATTCATAAAATGCAGAGTATTTACCAAATTTTCTTTTTTGTTTTATGACTTGCCACAGCAGCGAAGGTACACCTATATTGTGCAGTTGGAATGAAACTTGTCGAGATGTATTCCTCTTAATTTAAAAGTAGCTTGCCAGACAAGGTAATATACGCCCACTGGTAGCTTTGACTTTAAATAAAAAATACTGACAGTAAATTATCAGTTTGAAATATTCAACCTTCAGTCATACACTTCTTTTCGACTTTTGGGGCGATACTGAATAATATTACCAAGTTTCATCAAAATCTGCCAAGAATTGTGCCTTCTGGAGTGATTACAGGATTATTTTTGAACGCGATTTTAAGAACATTGGCAATAACTCATACTAAATATGTCTCGATTTTTTTTGGTTTTCAATAGGTTTCATCCTTGGATGTTTATTAACACTCACACCAAGATTTGCCAAAATCTGTCAATAATTGAACATTCTAGAAAGTTTATAAAAAGATTTGAAAAAAGTGATTCAGAAAGTATAGTATCCGGGCTATATGTGTTGAGGATTTAACATTTGGTTTATGAATGTAGGGCAAAGACACTTAAATAAAAAGATACCCAAAATTAAGACTGAAATTTCCAATTCTCATAAAATAAATCGTTAATTTTGATTTACCAAAGATCATTTTGCCAATCAACGACCATCTTTTGACGATGGATATAAACAAACTCACCAACTCCTTAAATATTTTCACATCACATCACATAGTCTTTAAAACACTTCCTGCTGATATAATGGTCTATTTCATCAATAAAATAAGTTACAAATTGAACAAAAAACGAATGTTGCTTTTTTTTAAGCTCATGTGCACGTTGAAAATCGTAAACATCCGGTTTACATGTTTGAAAATGTAGCGCGGCAAAGGGGTTGCACTTGCTTTGACATAGCAATTTAGTTTAATTGATTCGTTGATTTCATCAAGTAAAAGAGATGGGTGTGTAGCCTATGGTGATTCGCATCTTGTGCAAAGATCATTCTGTATTCGTTAACTCGAAAAGTTTCACAGATTCGAAACCAATAAAATTGTGTGTAGGTTATCATATTTCCCAGTAGGAGACTAGAGTATGTCTTGAGCAGGTCGGGTTGTGACGTAATAGCACGTGAAAAAATAATATGCAAATAAAGTATAATCTATTTATAAAAAAAAACGAATAACCCAGGGTTTTTTGTATGAAAGGCTTGACGTTTTCTTTCTGTATGAATAATTTTCAAATTTAACCCGGTATAAAGCTTTTCTTCATATAGTACTTAGTAGCCTATTAAAAATTCTATTCCAGACTTATTCACCGCTAATATTCAATATTGTTGACTGTGTACATTGATATTAAAATCTTAGAAATTATTTCTACACCAAATCAAGTGGTATATTTGCAATCGAAAGAGATATATTGTACTCATATTGGAAGAAATTAATTTCATAAGGATGATACATTCATTACTTTAATGGCGGTTTCATATCTCCCGGAAGTAGCGTTTCATTGGTACTTCCGGTTGGATAAAAAGGCGCATGATCAAATTCGTAAACAGACCAAAATATGTACATAGACACACCAATAACCATTAGTATAGTAAGGGCCATCGATAAAATAATTTTTTGAAACTGTGTCTGCTTTAAATCTGCTATGGATGCTAAATGTTCTTGCAGTGTCCTGTCTTCTGTATGAGATTCCTGGCCTGTCTTTATCCCTAACACAAGATTGACAATACGTATTCCAAGTGAAATCTTTTCTGAAAAATCCAGAAAGTTTAAAATTAGCTAATATCTTCCACTACACGATAAGATCCATACAATATAACCAAGGAAATTCCTCCGAATTGAAACAATTAAGTCTAATCAAGGGCGTAAACGGAAAAAAATAACCAGATTACATGTTTTGACACGTGTCAAATATTGATTGTTTTCTAAAGGAACATTGTTCCCCAAGAATAATTAAGATGAATTAATTAGTCGTTTAGAATACTTTGATATAATTTTGCAATTGACAGAAAAAAGAAGCCATATTGGTCAGTGAGTAACAACATTGGTACATTGCAAGATGAGGAAGTTAGTTACTTAAATCTAGGACGAGCCAGTAACTACTGTTCTTTAAAGCCGATGTGTGGTTTTATCTCATAATCCATTTATGCCATTTAAAGATATGTCTACTACAAAATGAAGAAGAAGATATGAAATATATAAACGATGCTATACTTACTTAATGTTTTAGTTTCACCATTATTGCTGGGTTCTTTATAAACCGGTTTTTCGTCAATATCAACGTCGATTATATCAGCACCGGTATTAACTGTGCCGTTTATTTCCTTCATCTGATTGTCTTTTAATTCTGAACCAACTTCGCAAATATACTCCGGATCATCCTTAGTCCAATATGTTGTTCTATGAATCTGAAATGCAAGACGAAGGTTAAATATTGGGACGAAGCAAGGCAAACTTAATTTTTTTTATTAAAAATCGAATATGGAACCACATTTAAAGTATTTTTATTTTATCACATCTTTTTTTGGGAAACAGTAGCAAAAACTTATTATAGAAAAAATAAAATGTCAGAACTAGACCAAAATTTTAGCCCAAAAATCAGCAATAAAACTTTTGAATCATCATAAAAATTGACATTTTTTTACCAATCATAGTCTGAGAAAAGGGAATATTTTAGGTAAGCTAGTCAGAAATAGTTTTCAAAGCTCACCGTCGAAATTTGAGACTTCAAATCCATGTTTGTCCAGAATTATCCGCCATTGAATGTTAAAATGACGACTCGTCAATTTAAGATACTTTGTGATACATAGAAAAGACATATATAGAAATAGTGAGTAAAATTCCTAGTTTGAAGTGAATTTCATACATTTCTAGTACTTCTGAAGACTCTTTACATATTTTCAAGACTAAAATCAACCCCCCAAAATAACGCACCTGTCCCTTTAAAATGCAGTATCTCCCACATGAAACAACACCCACACAGAGAATGAAAAAAGGATTCACTTACAAATTTAGGGTCTGGTTTTTCTGTACAGTAACTAATAAACACAGCTAAAATAGCAGTAGTACCAGTTATAAACATTGAAAAATACATGTAATGAAATTTCTTAATCATCGGTGGTAGGGGATAGGTATCTTTAACTCCACAAATATTCTCGCCTTGAAACATAAAGGCTATGAAGAGACGCACCACTCCAGTCAAAAATGCAAACATAAGAGACCAAAATGCTCCCTATAAAGAATGAAATGAATATGGTATATTGGAAAAGAAATATGGACTAAGATTGGTGTAAATAATGTCGTCTTGTAATGTGTGGACTGGGGCGTTGTCCTGAAATACAGTTCTATGCACTGTGCTATGCGATATATTTAAAATCTCTTGGCAGATTGGAGCCCTGGATTAAGGAAGGGCAGTTTTCAGTGTTAATTAGGAAATATTTAATTAATTACCATTTACCCCCTTAATTATTCTATAAAAAATTCTTATAAATTCTTACCGTTTCATTTACTCTAGGTACAAGAACAGCCAACAAAAAGATAGCTGCAAAAGGTGGAGCAATATAGTTCGTTACTTCCTGTATATAAATAAAGACTTGACCCCCTTGTGTTTCTTTTATTACTGGAACCCAGGCTATAGATACACCTACCATTGCCACAATAAATACTCTGTAAAACAAACAGTATATGGTGAAGTTATTTCAGACCGAACGCAAGACATGATAGGCGTTCATTAGCAGATAACATAAAACATTTTCATCCACATCCTGTTTAAAGAAATTTAAGTTATTGAAAAACCAAAAGAAGTTTTCGGTTAAAAGGAACATCTCATTAGAAATCGACAAACCGATAGCAAGTTCTTCTACATCATTGCATTGCATGTTGGTGTTTTCAAAGCTTGTCAAAAACTAGTACACGAATCTTTTAACAGGAGACACAGTGTCGACATCTGTCAGCACTTTATCCATAGAGCTCACAATCTCATGCCAAAGAACAGTATGATGCTACAGTTCAGCAGGCCTGAATGGGTCCTGGATTGTTTTCCAAAACACGAATTAACAAAGTTACCTGTCATTACCTGCCAACGATCATTAATTCTGTTACTGATGCAGCCTTTCTGAATCTTTTCCAGATGTCTATGGTAAATAACGTACTAGCACTGTTAAATATAGAATCTAGATCACTCATCAGCGCAGCTATCATTACCGCCATCATCAAACCTTTAGCACCTGTAATCAAAATATCTCGATGACAGCACCAGTGCTACAAACATCTTGTTCATTAAGTTTAGTTTACTATTTCAAATGTCACTCAAGCCAAGAATCTTGTAAGAATGTTCTGGAATGACAGAAATCACCCAAAGCCATTCTAAGAATATATCAGTAATGTTTTGAAGTTGACATTTAAGTTTACTTCGGAAAAATCGAACGAAAGTGCGAAGACAGAGGGGTAATGTAAAAAGAAGAAAGGCTACCTGCAAACCATATAGCTTCACAATAAGACGACACTTACCCGAAGGATTCATGTCAAGAAAACCACCTACATCAAAAGCCTGTAAAACTTCATTTACCTGAAGGCATGAGGCCAAGAACTAATTTTGGATAAGCAATGCTCGTACAACCAGCTCTACTCTGACAGATTTCATAACACATATCAGGATTGGTACACGCTACCTCATCTAAAACGATTTAAATTGGGTTATTATTACATTCCTGACCATATGTCATGTGTAGCTATTATACAGTAAAGAGACACAAACTGAAATATCGACTGAAAATATCTAAACTGGGTTTCCCCACAATGAGCATGACATCAAAAACAAACTTGGTTGTATGCTCGGGAAACCAGCTGGTAGCTATTGCTAGTGCTTGCATAACTTCGACAGAACGACAAACAACCAACTGTAAATAAATTGTATAGAATGTATGACTCCAATAACCATGTTGGTCATTTTTCCAGGGCCTTTCTAATTTGAGGCGTTCAGGCGTCTTATAAAGGACATAATGGAACTCTTTCGCAGAGTGCATAACTTCAAAAAAAATGTCAAAGATAGGTTCCCTTTATCATTTATGAAAATGAAAATGCTTATACTGTAATATGATTGGTTAAAACTTTTAATTATATGCAATAAGAACATAATGATATTAAGAATACATGATAATTCATTAGAAATACCAATTAATCAAATAGTTTGCTTAATTTGACACTAAAATATAAGGAGATCCATCTTTAAGTTTGGACAATACTGGCAAATAATGGTCCTTACTTACTTGGATATAAAATTCTACTGATCATGCCAGGCATCACCATCATAAACATTGGTAATATCTTAATAAATCCAGCCATTAATGAAGCACCTTGAGCATGAGCTAGGTTTTTAGCCGCTAACAATCTCTGGACTATTACCTAAAATACGAATTACATTAATCCTCGAAGAATTAGCATTGACAAGCGTCAGTTCTGCATTACAACTCTGAGCTCTCATTCTAGAAAACTGAACTTAAGATAAATTAGTATTCCAATCATCTAATTGGGCAAACAATCTAGTTCCCGAGAATAATTCCCTTGGTTGTTTTCAGGCTTTTTCTTTTGCCTTTGGGAGACTCCACTGGCCAACCATGATCTGCACTTTACCAGATTGATGGTTACGTTGACATTTTTTTTTATTTATTGTCAAATACTCCTATTGACCGAGAATATTAGGACACGTCGCTTAAACACAGAAAAAAAATTAACACAGCGACGATCTTTGTCTCATACACAGAAAGAATACTACCTGGTCAGCACACCAATACCAGATAGATCCAGGTGTTTGTCCCACTAGAAATCCTAACCATGGCATATAATCATCATCTACTGGACGTAACATTCGGAATGCCTGTTTATCAGGGTAATGACAAGTGGTATTAGGTACAATATAAGATACGTTTGTAGGAACAGCTTGAGGGTATTTCTCAAGCAATCCAGAAAAACCACCTATCTCTATAAACCCTGTAAAATACAAAAACAATACATGCCCTGTGTTTACCTACGTGAAGTTAACAGAAGAACTGTTTGTAACAATTCCAATTCACCAAATCTGCGAGTAGAGTAACCTTATGAACTGGACGGGTTTGTTTCTACATATTGAGAATCACGAAAACGGTGAAATATATCGAAAGATGAGAAAGGTAGAAAATGTAATTTAGGGGTTCTTTGGAAATTTGTTGCCAAAGCTTGCAGAAGCACAACCATGTAATGTAGCTTAGAGTGCCAAATAATTTGGAAACGTGGAACTGATGGCTTATGTGGGTGAACCCTTCCCTCTATCTATGACTCTGTCTACCTTAAAGCTATTATTTTCGAGAATCTAAACTTAGTAAAAAAAAAATCACATACCCGCTCCCATCAAGTAAAGTGCACCTCCCACCATAAGAAAGGCTTGCAAAGTATCAGTGTAGATAACAGCCGTTAGTCCTCCTGTAAACCAAATCCATACCGTTAGAAATTTTCCACTTCAGATATCCCGTGGTTACTCTGAAATCTCTGTAAATAACTCAACTTTTCTCAAAATCATGGAGTTTCGGTCGGGGTGGGATAGCTTTAGATTCCTTTTGTTGAAGTCATTTTCAACATCTTTTCCTCGATGCTGTAGACAATTAAGCCGCTATATGTTCTTTAATCTATTAGCTCTCGTGTATAGGAATGATAGCTATATTTTGATGAATTTTATCGTTGAGCCAATTCCATCACCTGCTCCAGAGTTCTATAACAAATTTTTGAAGGGCTCGAAAGGAAAAGAACAATCCTCTCGCTGGCTTAACAGTTCTCCACCAGGACATAGAGAAACGACGTATTGGGCAGTTTCGGAAGTAAAGGTATAACCAACCTGTTAATGTCAGTGTAGCTGTTATAAGAACAAGTATGACAATAGATAGATATAAATCCCATTTTAAAGATTGCTGTATAAAAAGTGCCCCTGTGTATAAATCTCCCTGAAATCATAGGAATATAAAAAGGAACTTTGATGATGGTAAAGCATGTCAGAATGTCTTCGTCTCAATACTGCTGGGTTGAAACAAAAGAACATCATGCTACACAAAACCATGCCAGCGTGAATGGGTCTCAAAAGCTCTGGGATGTTACAAACTTGCATCAGCTGATATAACTGATAGCGGATGGTGTCAACATTGGTGAGCATGTCAAAGGAGTTTTATAATAATGCTATATACATGAAGCGATGTTACGATACTGCTTCAATGAAATGAACAACTTTTCTGCACCATGAGGGGGGCTAATGAAGACGGGCAAGACGGGCATTCGCCTGCTCATTTTCGATTTCCAACTGTCGATCTTTAACGTGCACAGCTTGTAGCACACGGGGCATTGGTAATACTGCTTCAAGAAATAATTCTTAAACTATTTGTGCTATTTAACATGCATCACGGATTCTTAGTGCAGCTTCATTTCATACCTCTCCTGACACGTATATAATAATATTAATAGCATAATCGATGACTTGATTCTTTCAATGTCAACCTGTATATCAGTCAAACGGTGCATCTTTATGGCTTGAAAAGTACATTAGTAAGAAGATATAATAGTAAATATTTACTTTTCTGAAATACTATACAGTTTAATTGTATTTATGTATGAAGGTGATCAACTTACAGAACATTTTGTAAATATATATAAAACTAAACTTGCAAAGGCAAAGTAAACCCGCAATCGCGAACCACCAAATCTTTTGGAGAGGTATTCTGGCATGGTGTACGTCTGGAAAATAATCGTAGAGAAAAAAGATCGTCTTCTAAAGCATCAAAAAGTCAACAACAAAAATTGGAAATTTTTAAAATTAATTTGGTGATTTCTGACACATATTTTGGGGCAAAAACGCAAACAAATCATATTTTCAATTTGTCAAAAAAACGTAGGGATGCAACTGGCGGCCATATGATATATCGCAAACAGATATTTTCTCTATAGTAAATCCTTTATATAAACAAATAAAAGGAAAGAATCTATTCAGGATGTTGATTGAAAGATAGAGTTGACACGCCCTGAGTCATAGTGACACGAAATGGTAAGTATGCCCCGCCTCAGTGGGCATTTGGATCTCTATTTAGAACCTATTTTAAGAGAACCTGTTCACATGATACACAGTATGGGAAGTGGGTGACCAAATAACTTAATTAGACCATTTGGGGGCATTGGGTTCAAATTCTCCTCAAGGTAAGAAAAATTATGATGCCCGTGCCAATGCTTCCGAGAGACGGACCTGTGTCGGCTCTCACCCCCTAATACCCAATTAATGAAGTTTAGTTCAGAAAAAGATACTAACCCCACAAGCTATATACACTGGAATAAATAACCATCCTAATAGTTGTAGCATAAACAGTGCCTGGAAAATTATATAATTATGATGCCTCACAGTAGGTATATGATCAAACGGGATATCTTAGATGATAATGGAAACTTGGATAAATGCTCATTTCGGTCTGGCTTTGAAATGAATAGAATGTATAGGCTAATTATGAATATCTGCCATCTCTTTTATATTTCGGGAAGAGAAACAGGCATCTGGTTTGTCACCAATTAGTTACCATCGGTCCGCTTTGAGTTGCAAGCGAGAATGCAAATAAAGGTCGAGGTTATCATATCCATTTGAATAGTGATACCGGTAGCTGGAATTAAATTCTACCAGCTTCAATAAAGTAAAATTACTTACATTAAACTCCCAAGCACCAACACTTATACCACTTCCTGCTCCAGAACCAGCTAACCCAATAAAATGTTCTGTACCAATATTACTCACGAATAACGAAGCACCTATCTGGAAATTCAAATTAAACAAAATTCACTGGCAACATACGCTCTAGCCCCGAACAATTATTGGGCTCTTGCAAATATCATGGGTTTACCTTTCACAAATTCAAATTGCATAAAAGAAGTGACCATATATACTGCTTTTTTAACATTCACATTCCTATTTGAAATCTTGCAGAAAAAAATATGCATACACCATGTATCATAAACATCAGATTAAATTTATTGTCTCTATTGTGTTTACAAGAAAAAGTGAATGTGTTCAATTGAGTGTTTGAGGTATTTGGGAAATGCCTATCCATCACTTACCGGTAAAAACCACATGGACCGCCCAGCAAGGAAATAACCACTGACAGTACCTCTATTAGACCTCCAACTTGCCTGCAAAAAATATTACAAAATTAGATATAAGTATTGGCTTTGGACTTTGGAAATGATTGAGTAGGGAGGTCATATAAGATATTATATCAGTGAAATACATACAAACTAAGCGTCGAAATATCGTTAGTTATGTATAGAAAACCCATCTAATGCACCTATTCAGAGAAACAAAGCGATCCATCTGCTTAAATAAATCGGTTTTGTATGATGTTCATATGGTGGTCGTGGATTCTAATCTGGGTCGGCGTGTGAAAGTTTGATGACCTTGAATAAGTCATCTTCACTCATAATTCCAGACGATCCAGCTGAAAATGCGTGCAGATAATCGGGGAAAGATGCCACGAGGATTGCCTACAGGTCAGCTGCAAGAACCTCATTATCCTATTTTGTTACCTTTATGAAAAATGATTTCATTCTTTCTTTCTTTGCCCGGATGTCAAGGAAGTGAGGGGGTTCGGTTGGTCACTCCTATTGCTTACTTTTACCCCGACATGGCAGCATAACCCGACAACGGGTCTCTTCGATAATTAATGTAGAAAAAATAAATAAAGAAAAAGAAATCTTGCTATTTCACGCGCAACGTCATGGTAGTAGCATATAGTGGTCCAAAATAAAAAACAAGATGGCAGATCATACGTGACTATATGATAATATTGTATAGATATAATTTATTAAACACAATCCGGTACATTGTACAATGTGCGCTGTTAAATATCCATTCATCAAATGTGTTATGGTAGATTTAAACTGACCATCAAGTGACCCATGAAAGTAATTTGTCTCTCAATGACCACGATATTATTATCTTCACATGAGCTAGGAAAAGTAAGAATGAAATCAGCCCCTTTAATATGACTGCGAGATGAGAGCAATTTGACGCCTTTTTTAAAATGGATCCATAGCGACGCGATCTAGAAGAGTCCGTCGAACATCAGTAACATTCAAGATGTCCATGCCAACAATTAGTATTGTGGACGGATTAACGTACAAACTGTAGCTGAAGCTACAAGAAGTTTCTGGTGTCAGACCTAGATCTAAAGTTTATATTCGAAGTTTTAGATTTCTTCCCCAGTATTGTATTCATAACGGCGAACTCATGATACTAACATAATTTGAGAGCAAATGGATTTTCGACAACCGCTGAATATGCGCAGTTGACGCCAGTAACCTTTGTTGTTGGAATCTTCAACTTACTAGTTGATCACAGTTGCTAATGAGTGCTTCACCTACGACGAATAGGCTCGGGGGGGATGCTTTGAATCGACCTGAATCCAAGAAATTATTTGAGGTTTCATTTCAATTTTCATGTGTTCAATACAATAAAGGTCACAATACTTACAAAAATTCCAACACCAATAATAGCCACAAAGTATGCTGCAACAACACCAATGTCAGCACCGCTTAATACAGTTTCCGCCATCTTGAAAGAAACTTTTATTAGAAATGAAGATGTATTATCTGGTTGATAAAAATACCATTAAACAGCGAGTATATATTAGGGGACATTCGAGATTGTGTACACGAAAAATGTACTAGCCTAATACGAATTTGTTTACAAAACTCACATAATAAACAGCCGGGCATTCATTATAGCTATGAATGTAAACAATGAATTTCTCTCTTAATGTATGTATTCAAGAACAAGGAGCATTTTATACTACTTGCTTCGACATGGAACATAGCTGCAAAATTCATGCATATAACTTTGACAAGTATATATTCACAATGCATGTCATAGCATTCTTGTCTTATATAAAACTGTAAAAAAACGTAAACGGTAGCCTCCTTCAAGGGTACAAATTAAAGAGAGTAAATCAATAAATTATCAACTTTGAGCTCCATATCTACATGTCCAAACTAAGTTTCGTCAACATGAAACATAGCTGTAAAATTCATGCAAATTTATTATGCTGCCAATGATATTATATACGTGCTGGATTAAATGATGCTTTTTCCGTTTACAAACTATTGAAAACACAACATTTTAAAGAAACTTTGAATGTGAAAAAGAAAAATATTTCCAAAGTATCGGAACAAGATAACTAAAATTGAGGGGCGAGGGGCTCAATAAAAGTCGTCAATTATGACGTTACAATTAAAATACATAATATAATAGTATGACGTCATAAGCAAAATTCATTTGATTGCTGAAAAGACGTGTTAACAAGTTTCTCGGCAATTTTTACGAATTTTTCGTGATTTTAAGGTGAGATACCAATACAAACTGTCTAATTTTATCAGTAAACCTCCAATTACGGACACAAATACTTAAAAATGGTCGTTTTGGAAACAATACATTGCAAAAGGAAACTTTTCGTAATGCCATAAATCTGAATAATTCCAAAATCAGTTGTACCAGGTATGAATTGATTCACGAATCTGAACGTTTTACAATTTTTTCGTTTATTTCAGGATGTCTAAGAAATACATGTCCCGTCCACCATATTGTTTTGGTGAAATCCCCGACTACACTATACCGCCCATGACGGTAGAAGAGTACCAATACTATGAGAGATAATTCTTTGGATTTCTAAATGAAAAACCAGTTGACAAACAAGTAGAAGCTGAACCTGGATTTGTCCAGAGATTCCTTCAGTTAATTGGTATTTCAAAGATCTCCAAATATGAAGGTAACCTAAATATGATTTAAAACCATTTTGATTGTTACGACAGAAAAACAAAAAGCATATGAAATTCAAACATAATAGGATTTCAAAATGGGATTCTATTTGAAAACTTGAATTTCTTTATTAGATTTGTGAACTTCAAAAGATGTTTATTTATTTTGTTTTGTTTATAGATGAAGTACCAGAGATAAAGTTCAATGTTCATCAAGTATTAAACAGTAATGAAACTTCCAACTCTAGACTTCGTGGAACGGATGATTGTCTGAACGGTGGAGCTTCTGTTAACGCTGTAAGAACGGCAAACAAGACTACACAGACTGAAGAGGTTGCCATGTCTGATCAAGGAGGTAAGATGATTTTATGAAATAAATTCTAAAGAAGTTTTCTAGCCTATATCAATCAGACGTATGTTTTCTACTTGCACAATTTCGACGTCTGTCGTTTCTGTATCCAGACAATCTGGACCAAAAGGTGTCACCATCATATTCTGGTCATGTCCTATTGGAATTACAGAAAAAGAGCTAATAGTAATTGTGTGACCATGATAAATCTACACACGATAGAACACATCTTAGACCTTAATAACTTCTTGTGATTCGACCACACAGACATGTTCCTCAAAATTGAGTTTTTGGCAGCATCATTTCAAGTTTTGAACAACACTCTGTTCGTGTGCAAAGCTGCCCTTTACCCAAAGATGCCGACGTAGCTGAATAACTGCATTATTTTCTTGAACCAATCTAGTACTATAGTGCTGATATAGATTTACTAATTTTTACTTTCAGTTCAAACTGTGAAGTGCGAAAGGAGATTTCTAAAATCTTGCAGACGATTCCTTCGAAGATCTTTTAAGTGCTTCAAGGCTGCCGAAGAGTAATGGCTCAACAGTGGTGTCCATACAGCATTTTAGGGTCATCAGATTAGTTGGCACAATGCCAGCATGCTTGGTCAGAACGAGAGCTTGTATGAAGAGTGACTGACTTAAGTTACCAAACCATTAAATCTGGTTGAACATTGGGCTTTATAGCAATCGTCAGTTTATCGGAGTGTGAGTGTGCGAATGTGTGATAGACAAAGACAGTAAATTATTTGGAATTGTAAATTGTGTGGGGGGGAGCGTGGGGGGATTTAGATTTGGAAGAAGGTCTAATTTAATTTTGAGTCGTGGGGTTGAGGGGGGGGGGGGGGGGTCTGTAAGAATATTTTAATATGCAATTGAATATCACATTCTGGGTCATAAGTAAGGCTATTTACACCGTCCATATATTTATATTTGTTATCCATTTACAATATTTTTATTGGTATAATGTTATTCAGAGATTATATTTGTTATTTTTAATAAACAACTTTTAATTGGCATATTATACTTATTTGTCAAATCTTGCATGACATCTCTTGTGGTAAAAGGCCCAATAAGGTTCAGAACATTCAGACATAAACAATGGTTTAGGACCATGTTCAGTTTAGTCTATCTCGTATATTGTCTTATACCCCCATTTCACCTAGCATTATTTTGGTCAAGATAGTGATAGTTTTGGGGGTTGAATGTGGGGCTATATTTTTTATATAGAAGTCGGAAACCTGCCAGTACTATTAAACACTACCTTTGTCATCGGAGTACAAACAGCAAAACCTACTTAAGAACTTTAACAACTAAATTTCAAGGAGCCAGGGGAAGCCAAAAGTAAACGGTTTTTGGACAATTTTACCGAAAGTTCCAGTTTACCAATTTGCTCCAGACAAGGGACTTTCAGACGACCAAGACGGTAGCCGATCACTTTTTCAGTTCCCTCAGACGGCTGAAACGATCGAGGCCAGATCTTACCCCGAAGGTATAAGAAATGGTGCTCGAAAGTGGCCGCAGGATATAGACCATTTTCGAGGGTGGTTGTCTGGCTACGAGCCTGCTTCAAGGGTACAAATTACGGAGAGTGAATCAATAAATTATCAACTTTGAGCTCCCTATCAACATATCCGAACCAAGTTTCGTCAACATGAAACATAGCTGTAAAATTCATGCAAATTCATTATGTTGTCAATTATATTATATACGCACTGCACTGATGTTTTTGCAGTTTATTAACTATTGAAAACACAAAATTTAAAATACTCCTTGAATGGGAAAACAACAATATTTCCAAAGGATCGGAACAAGTAATTTGATAAAGATAACTACGATTGAGGAGCGAGGGGTTCAACAATAGTCGTCAATTATGACGTTACAATTAAAATACATAATATAATAGTATGACGTCATAAGCAAAATTCATTTGATTGCTGAAAAGACGTGTTTACAAGTTTCTCCGCAATTTTTACGAATTTTTCTGGATTTTAAGGTAAGATACTAATACAAACTGTCTAATTTTATCAGAAAACCTCAATTTTGTCGTTTATAATAGGTATATAGCAACTGCAATGGACACAAATACTTTAAAATTGTCGTTTTGGAAACTTTTCGTAATGTCATAAATCTGAATATTTCCAAAATCAGATGTACCAGGTATGAATTGATTCACGAATCTGAACGTTTTACAATTTTTCCAGGATGTCTAAGAAATACATGTCCCGTCCACCATATTGTTTTGGAGAAATCCCCGATTACACTATACCGCCCATGACGGTAGAAGAGTACCAATACTATGAGAGAGAATTCTTTGGATTTCTAAATGAAAAACCAGTTGACAAACAAGTAGAAGCTGAACCTGGATTTGTCCAGAGATTCCTTCAGTTAATTGGTATTTCACAGATCTCCAAATATGAAGGTAATCTAAATATGATTTAAAACCATTTTGATTGTTACGACAGAAAACGCAAAAAAGTATCTGAAATTCAAAGTTAGATTTATTACGCGAATTTTGTAAAGGAATAAGTTGTATGACTTGGCAGGGTATGCTTACTCTTCTAGACACCTGATGCCACTTTTCATTATGAAATACTTCCTCACTTATGATTTGATATACTTACTCATGTGAAAATTTCATTAGCTGCTACGAATGTTTCGCCAAAATGTTGATTTGGATTTCGGGTTTCGTTTTGCGGTTAGTAGCCTACTTCGTTAATTTATCTTAAAATTTATTTATATTTGTTTATAGATGAAGTACCAGAGATAAAGTTCAATGTTCATCAAGTATTAAACAGTAATGAAACTTTCAACTCTAGAATGCGTGGAACGGGTGATTGTCTGAACGGTGGAGCTTCTGTTAACGTTGTAAGAACGGCAAACAAGGCTACACAGACTGAAGAGCTTGCTACGTCTGATCACGGAGGTAAGAAGTTTTCTAGCCTATAGTTTTTGTATTCCAGACAATAGGCTAGAACTTGGCATAGGATTGCCAAAATCATAGTTGCAGATCTCTTAGACGCATATAAGGTGACCACTAAAAATTCTTAAAGTGTGATTTCTTGGCAGTACCATTCTAATTTTCCAACAGCACTCTTCTCATTTGCATTTTTTATCCATTACCCAAAAATGATACGGCTAGAGGAAAAAGAAGGAAGGGAAAGGCATATGCAGACTGTGTGACTAAGAGATGCTAGACCGGAATAGCGGGTGGTTAACACAGTCAGTAGACCGGGATTGGATTCTTTTTATGGAACCAATCTAGTACCTTTCTTATATTGATTGATTTCCTTTTTTCAGTTCAAACGGAAAAGCGTCAAAGAAGATTTTTAAAATCTTGCAGACGATTCCTTCGAAGATCTTTTAAGTGCCTCAAGACTGCCGAAGAGTAAATGGTTAATAGTGGTGTCCATGCAGCATTTTTGGGTCCATCGCTCACCAGTCTGCCAGACGTTGACGATACAGCTAGATGAAAATGTTGGGGAGGAACGGAGTTAAAGCGGTTGTCATACGTAAAAGCCAGTAGATTACTTCGCACAATGCCAGCATGCTTGGTCAGAATGAGAACTTGTGTGAAAGAGTGCAAGATTGGAAGAATGACAGGCTAACTTAACCAATACAACTCTGGTTGAACATTTCGGGTTTATAGCAATCGTCAGTTAGTTGTAAAGTATTAATGAGAGTGAGGGTGTGCGTGAATGTGTGTGTATGACAAAGATAGAGGAATCGTTTGGAATTGAAAATTTTTGGGAAGGGGAGATTTAGATTTGGATGAATGATGGTACATTTCGAACAAAAGAGGGTCTAGTTTCATTTTGATGAGGGGGGGGGGGGGGGATATCAGATTCTGGAAAATTAGTACGGTTATTTAAACGGTCCATATATTTACATTTGTTATCCATTTACAATATTGTTATTGAATAGTTATTTAGAAAATATATTTTTTATATTTTGAATAAAAAAAATTTAAATTGGCATATTTTTCTTCACTTGTCAAGATTTCTTCTTCACATTCGTCTTCACAGGCCAAATAAGCTACAGAACAATTAGACATAACAGTCGCAAAACTGGACTCAGTTAAGGTTAGAACCAGTGTACAGTTCAGTCTATCTGATGTTGTTTAATGTGGACCAACATACTTGACATAGACGACACATATAAGAACATAAAAAGAGAGTTGAGAGATACGATTTTGCTCAAGAATTAGCTATTAAAAACAGGCAACATAATGCAATGATGAATATTTTTCTCAGGAAAAAGAGATATCCCATTACGCAGATTACTTTGGAAAGATTCTTATGTCGTTAAAATATCGACCATCAAAGATGCTTTGGGACATACTTAAACTTGGCTTCGTGTCTGTTACTAACAGGCACAGTGTTGCGACAATAGATAAAAAAAAAAGAAGCACAGTCCCTGCCCTCACCCCCATTCCAAATATTTAATAGAGGTTTGGAAAACTCAGTGTTAAGCACAAAATTTGCCAACCACAGCTCGAAAGCGCATTCATAGGAGTAGGGCTTGTCCGAAACAACTGCCTGAATTCCAGATTATGATAGCTGTTTAGACAGTTTTTTAGGCCAACTAAAGCCGACAACAAAATAGCTAGAGGCTAGAAGATGTTACGTTTGGGCGTAAAAGGGTCTACATAACATCGGATGGTCTTCAGTAGTGGACTGTTATGTTTTCAATATCTTTGCTCCATTATTCAGAATATACTTACTGTGTCAATTTCAAAATTCAATATTTCTGTGAGCGCAACAGCATTGTAATCGGCAAGAGCTCATATAATTCTGTCGACACACAATTCGAATGAAAACAAAATCGAATTGTTCTTCACAGATACAGAACCATAAAACTTGGTTGACTTTTTAAAAACCCGGACACACTTTGAAATCCGGAACGAATCCAAATATAAACACGATCAGTCTACTATAATTTGAGGTGTTTCAAGTAATTGTGAACGGAATGCATAACTTAAGAGACTTCTCTTACCAATGAAACGCCAAAATAGTACATTATTGCATTGCTCAGTGGTCAAACCAAGTTAACCTGATACCTGAAAATCTTGTGATGAAAACTTTGGTTTTTTACTGAACCGAGTCCAAAAAATGCAGGGTGATTTTAATGGCATGTCGTCTGACAGAGAGAGAGCCAGAGAGAATTGTACCATTTTCGTGGAAGAAGAGCACCCCCTGAGGTCGGCAAATCGTCTGCAAATTTATCTGTCGCAGTGTAATCTAGAACTTAGGAGTACAGAATCCCAAAATTTGGGAACCTGGGCAGCTACAGCCACCAATTCGTTCTTGGTATGAGAGAAAGGTAACAAAAATAACATAACTTTTTAATGATAAAACAATTATGGGAATAATTAAAATGATAAATATACAATAAATATAAACTAACAAATTACTTGTCAAATTCATTCAGGGGACATTCCCCACAGCATAGCATAGTCCTCGGAACATGCTTTATGTTTTTCCAAAAATTGACGTAAAAACTAAAAATCATACTTTTGCATTTTTGAGTTTCTAAATTGAATTTTGAGTTACTAAGTCAAATTTTGTTGTTAAAAAATTTACTTTTTAATAACTCTCTACTTTTAATCAGATCAAATTAGCTAAACATTGACTTATGTAGCAGCGTTGAACATTTTGCCAATAATTTGGTGCACTGGATCAAGAATTTTACAGCATTATTTAGAAGGCGTGTATAGGCTAGCACTGTTACATTCATAGACTTTTACAATACATGTATACTTTATGGAAATGATTATCAAACATGAAGTATGCAAATGATTACATAAGAGATAATGAGATGATTAATCAACCAGACCCAATAATGCATTAGGAACTCATGTTTATACTAATACCAAGGTAATGAAGCATGCCATACATAATGGATTATAAAAATGATTTCTCTTTAAAATTCATCAATGAAGTGCCATATTATTTTATGAAATTGATACATCATGCTTTTTATTAGTTATTTTCCTTTTATATTATGATAACAATTCCACATAATGGATGCTATGGAGTATGAGAATGATTCATCAATAAAAATCATTTCAAACTTTAGGTTATTAAGAATCATTTTCAAATTTCTTGAAATCTAAGATTGATTCATTAATAAGAATCATTTTAATCCTATTGCATATGAGAATGATTCAGTAATAAGAATCATTTCAGTCCAATAGAATGTGAGAATGATTCAATAAAAATCATTTTAATCCTATTGAATATGAGAATAATTCTTCAATAATAATCATTCCAATCTTATTGAATAGGAGAATGATTCAGTAATAAGAATCATTTTAATCCTATTGAATTTGAGAATAATTCTTCAATAATAATCATTCCAATCTTATTGAATAGGAGAATGATTCAGTAATAAGAATCATTTCAGAATATGAGAATGATTCAATAAAAATCATTTCAATCCTATTGAATATGAGAATGATTCTTCAATAATAATCATTCCAATCTTATTGAATATAAGAATGATTCTTCAATAAAAATCATTTCAATCCTATTGAATATGAGAATTATTCAGTAATAAGAATCATTTTAATCCTATGAATTATGAGAATGATTTATTAATATAAATCATTTAAACCATATGTGTTATGGAAATGATTGTTCAGTAAAAATCATTATCATCCCATGTCAATATTATGAAAATGATTTTTTGATTATATCATACGTAAACATCATACCCAAATAACAACATTAACATGATAAATGGATTTCAAACTATCATTTTAATACCATATGTTATTATGAGAAAGACTTTTTGAACCCATATAATACAAGAATGCAAAAATGATGAAATTATTTGAACCTATATATTATAATTTTACCCACAAATTAATAAATTAGCTATAGCAATATCACAGTTAAACATAAAATCAACAAATATTGTTCAATAAAATATGCTTTTTGCTTCATTGGCTTAAAGCTTGGTAAAGTTTACGCAACGTTTCAGAAACTTGATGCACTGGTCAACCAAGGCCAGAGTGTCCAGGAATTGCCACTTTTAGGACTGTTTAAACATGCACAAATATCAAGAATTATAGGCTCATACTATCCCAAAAACAGGTTTTGACATGGTCTTATTAACCTGTATTAAACTAAGCCCACTATACTTTGTTTTGTGAGCGTGGAGAATTTAGATATGAAAACGTTATTTCTCCCAATCGTATTACCACGGCCACCCGGAAGTACGACAAATGGGGCTATAATAATCTCAATAATGACCTGAAGGAGACTATATCTAACTTTATAACATTGTTGATTGTAAGAAACCTAATAAATTCTGATAATCAAGCCCTATTTTACCTCCTTTTTTAAGAAAACTGCAATACAAACACAGTGCCACATTCATCTCAAGCCTTGAGATTTCATTGAATAGGAGAGATAAGCTATGATGTCATAGAGGTGGTTTGCGTATCACATGATGCACAACATTAACAGTTATAAGAGTGGTTTGTCCTACCAATTGTCCTACTCAAGTCATGCATTGGTTCTATTTTTAGCATATCATGGCTAAATTTCTTCTATTTATTAAGCAGTTCAAGACACAATGTAGAATGTAGAGTTGATAATTGATATAAATAAAATGACGGTAGGTGATGGTATGAGACAGGGGTCACCTCTTTCTCCATATATCATTAGTATCAACAACAATGTACTCTAAACCTTTTAATGTTTTAAAACTTCCTGAATAAAATACTAAATCTGACATCACTAGCCTGTAATTGAAATGAACAAGAAACATTTCAAGTGTTAAATTTTCAGGGAGGGAGATCAAATTGTATGTCAAAGCATTACTTAAAGATGGAAAACTCATACTGATATCTTAAAAAGACATTTAATCTTTTAATTTTTTAACAGTATTCGGCAAACAGATTATAATTTTGAGCACAGAACATTGAAATAATGTCATTTGCTTGGCTACATCTAGCAAATGGTTGTCTTGGGTTCTAATCTTGGTCGGTGTGGGAAAGTCTGGTGATCTTGATTTTTTCTTTCATGTCTTTTTTTTTTACACAGAACAAAGTGAGAAAAAAAAAATTTCTGAAAAGTTATGGCTTCTGTTTTCATTCTGGTCAACCAGTTGCAATATGGGATATCAGCATGGACCATGGACCTTCGCATAACTCTTGTAATACTAAGTGCTTATCTTTGAATACTCTAAATTTCATACTTAAACACCTGTGGGCAATTAATTATTCTAATTAGTATATAAGGCATTTGGTAAGACAAATTCATAAAAATGAACAAGTTTCTTACCCATGTTGTGGTCCTCCATCATTACTGACTCCTAATTTATATAATTGTTGTTCTAATATTCTCTTAAATACTTCATTTATTCTTTTAAATATTAACTACAATACAAATATAATTCATTTCCGGTAAGAACTTACTCACCAGTTAAGTGACCAGTTTAGCCTAAAGGTGCGGGCACCTGAGCAGTCTTTGTCAGAGATTTTTGTCGCTGATTAGAGTAAAATCTTGCATGTGCTGGTGCTTCCAGGACAAGATTATCTCGTTTAGGACATGATTTAAAATATCAAACAAGACAGACCATCATCATCCAATCAGATTCATTTTCAATTGCATGCTGTTTATGAGACTATCGATTAGGTGGAAAACAACCAATTTTTTGTGCTCGTGCCAGTCGTTCAAACTCTTGGCAAGACAGTAGTTGGCGACAACAATCTCTGACCAAGACCGTTCGTGTACCCACACCTTAAGAATACTGCATTTCAAAAGAAAAATAGTTTATTTCTAATAAACAATCAAAGCTTGTCATTTAGGACTTTTTTCTTGATAACAATGAAGAATTGTTGCATAGCAAAACATAAAGTAGAGCAATATTACAGCACTGTCGCAGCTTGTATCCTACAATTCATCATTATAATCAACAATACGCCCTACAAGACATGCTGTAAGTGGTTAAAAATTAAATAACCACAACACAACTGCAGAGAAAACTTGTTAGATTACAATGGAGACAAAAATGTCAGAAAATAGTTACAAAAATTTTATCAGGTTTTACTCAGATTGGTTGAAATAAAAAATTTTTTAGTTTCATCCAATATAACTTTTGGAACAATTTGGAAAGAGGGTATAATTCATATAATAAAATGGACTAACCTTAACCTGAGATACTGGTAATATATCTATTAAAGCTTCATGTAACTTAGTATTATTTTTACAGATAGTACGAAAACAATTTGATGGCATGGGTGCTTTAACTTCATACTGAAATATTAAAACATATGCTTTAAAAATGTGTCAAATTCCAAAATATGTGATCTTCATTTGGATTCAATTAAAAAATAAATGATTTTTGCTAATGTTTCTCACGCATAAAGACATTTAGTATTCTCTGAGGGATATCAATAAGTTGTAAGGGTAAATTTTGTTGATAATATTTTTAGTTCTCAAAGATAAATAGCATACGATCAAAGGCGTCGCTAGCCTTCTGAAAACAGGTGAAAACAAGCACCAAACGGTTAGGTTCCCTATAATAGAATAGTTTAGTGCATTCTGACACATATTTTGAGGAAAAACATATATAAATCATATTTTGAAATTGCTTAGAAATAAAACAGAGGTACAAACTGTAATCACCTTAAATAATCTGTTTTCTAATTCTTTCTCCATAATAGAAACAAACTTGTTATTTATTTCTTCTATATGATTTTCATAATCCTACAATACATTAAATTCTCATAACATAATATATAGAAATATTAAGACAGAACCTGAAACATGTAGTTATTCTACTGCTCTACTGATCTAATTCAGTTTGTGACCCTACTTAAGTTTGTCAAGATTGTTTTCCTGTCTTGACTTCAAGATGATATACTAAAGGTTGAAGATTAACATGCCCAGTATCATCTATTCATTAGTGCTTAGCATGATAGCTTTTATCTACTGTTAATATTGTTTATTTATCACTAATCTTAGGGAGTTATAGATATATATACTTGTTGCTCTATATTCTATCTACTTCTAAATGTCATTTAGAGATTATACAAAATAACTGATCCTCAATATTAACTGGGACACATCTGGAGAAAAATTCTCCATTTTTAGTCATTGTATATAATGCACTCCCCCAGTTTGGCAAGCCCTTTTAGGCTAAAAACTGTGCATTATACATGCAAATATACAGTATTTGTCATAGCAACACAATACAGGTGCTCAAATAAATAGGTTACTGACTTTCATATATAGATCAAATTGATAGTGTCCGAGCGAGCGTAACTTATAATTTTATAATAGGAATGCAATGTCATAGGGCCTTCTTTCTCAGTTGTGTAAATCACATCTATGATCTTCACTCTTTGATTATGCATACAACTACCAAATTCAATCAAAATCAATTGTAGTTTCAAGTGAGAGAATGTAAACAGACTAATGCAGTGACATGGGTGGTATATATCCACAAAGAAAACTATGGGCCTAAAAAATAAATGTATCAATAGTTAGTGTGCCGATAGAATTCTCAAAACAAAATATTTGCTGGACAATTGTAATGGCCAGAAAAAAATGAAAACAGTATTTATGAGACACTAGTAATATGATAGATGAAATGAGAATGGGATTTTATTACTTACATTCACAACCTGTTCAAAGTATTTGAGCATATTTTGGTTTTTCTGGGGTAGTTTTTCTTGGAAATGGTTTTTGACTTTTGGTATGTAATGCACTATTAATTGAAGACAGCGGGAGGCTAGGGCTGAAATATCAATAGCAAAATAACATAAATATTTAAACCCATTTATGCAAACTAAATTTCATTTAAATCGGATGAAAAGTGTTGTCTCTATTGTGTTCACAAACTAATTTTGAAGCTAAATCAAATTCCATTCACTGAAAGATCGTTAACTTCAAACTTGTCCAAGATCTCATTAATATAAATGATCACACCAAATTTCATTAAAATCAGATAAAAACTGTAGTCTCTATTGTGTTCACAAGCCATTGTGGACGGACGGCCGGACAGGGGCGATAACAATATAGAACCACATTATTATGTGTCAACGTTCAAAAAAATAATCTGCCATAGAAAAAACTAAGTAGTCCTAAAGTCCAACATGTTTCAAGAGCACAAAGGCTCTTAGGGACAGACACACATGAAATGTCAGTTGAAGTTCAGTGATGTCACTTTCCTTAGTAGTTGTTTTCTTCCAACATTCTTCTCATGGTAGGAATCACATTATAATGTGGGTGTATAAAAATTAAGAAAAAAAAAGTAATTCTGTACCTAAATTTTTAGTGGTAATAGTTTTTAATCCCACCATTGTTAAAGCTCCAGCACCAATGACTAGTTGACACGTTCTTGAGTTAAAATTCTAAAAAATTAAAAGATATAGCCTAGTTGTTTAATCATTAGCTTCCTAGCAGATAGAGCTCAATTTTAGCTGCATGTATCACTTTTCAGAATTAAAATTCTAACTAAGGTGCAATTCAACTAAAATATACTATGGAAGTACTATGGATAGTCATAACCGCCCATGATAACCTGAAAGGGCCTTTTAAATTCCAAAGTGCAGTTTTGTTTGAATTGCAGTTATATATCTTTTATAAAAACTCATTTAAATCAAGTAGGTAAGTAAAAGACAATGACATGAAAAATCCAAAATTATGTCGATAAATACAACATGATTTAGTCATTGAACCAAATACACACAGTAAACCCATTCCAAACAAATTTCTGAAATACAAAAATATATCAAACTATACCTTTATTAGTTCTATAAGTCTAGTTAAGAGATCAGGAGCAGTGTTTGGTATGTCATCTAAACATTGACAATATTCTACTATCATCTTGACTAACATTAATACAGTTCTAAAATAAAAAAAATAACACAAATTGCTATGTTAACCATCATAACAAACAATTATATTGAAAATACCGATGCGCCATTTTTTTTGACCAATCATACTATAGTCTCAAAAACGGGAATTTTTAAGCAAAGCCAATCAGTAATAGTGTTCTCAGCTCACCGTCGAAATTAGAGCCTTCAAATCCATGTGTGTCCAGAATTATCCGCGTTTGAATGTTAAAATGACGACTTGTCAAGAAAAGATACTCTGTGATATATAGAAAAGACATATTTATAGAAATAGTGAGTAAAATTCCTAGTTTGAAGTGATTTTCGCACATTTCTAGTACTTCTGAAGACTATTTGCATATATTCAAGACTAAAAACTATCCCCCAAAATGGCCCATCTGTCCCTTAAAAATATAAAATTCAAATGCCAATTAAAATGTTCGCAAGAATCAGTAGAAATACCCACCCAACAACTGCAAATTTTTCTGAATCAACCAATAAATATTCTTGAGGTTTTCTGTCTGAAATGAAAGGAACAAGCATTTCAATTTTCATGAATTTCATGTATCTGCCCATGTCTACGTCTGACATGACCTTACTGATTGATATAACCTTTCTACATAATGGTATAGTTAAATAACCTGACTGAGTTAAATAGCCTACCTGAATCATTTCTATGTTTTGGTATGACTAAACAACCTGATTGATTGATATAACCAACCTGAATCATTTCTACGTTCCGGTATAGTTAAACAACCTGATTGATTGATATAACCTGACTGATTGATATAACCTACTTGAATCATTTCTACGTTCTGGTGTAGTTAAACAACCTGATTGATTGATATAACCTGACTGATTGATATAACCTACCTGAATCATTTCTACGTTCTGGTATAGTTTAACAACCTGACTGATTGATATAACCTACCTGAATCATTTCTACGTTCTGGTATAGTTAAACAACCTGATTGACTGATATGATCTACTAAATCTTGAAATTCTACTGGTACATCAGCTTGTTTCCATCTTTCATTGTCTAATATTAAACTACAAATAAATATACATTCTTCCTTTAAACATTTCAAAAAAGACAAATTTTGTATGAATGTTACTGATAATATAGTCATCTTATTATCTGTTTAGAGGAAAACAATTTGGGTAATATATCCCTTTAAAGTGAAAGTACCCAATTAAAAGTTTAAAGGGACAGATGCACCATTTTTTTTACCAAGCGTATCTTAGTCTCAGAAATAGGAATTTTTTTTAGCTAAGCCTATCAGTAATAGTGTTCACAGCCAGAATTATCCGTGTTTGAAAGTTAAAAAAGACAGGTTGTATTAGAAAAGACATTTTTAATGGAATTATGCGACTTCCTTACATTTCTAATACTTCTTACATATACTCAAGACTCAAGTCAACCCACCATAATGTCCCATTAATTTGAAATAAACATATAACTTTAGTGATAATGAACACTTAAAGTCCTAGAAGTACAAATATAGCTGTCAGCAGAATTAATAATGGCGGCAAATGACATATTTAAGCCTAGACTATCATTTACATCATTCTTTAATTAAACCCTGAGGATTTTTTTTTTTGAACATGGTTTTTCAAATATCACTTTCTCTCATAATGAATTACCCACCTTAATTTTGATTTTCTTTCCTCATGGAATTTACAGATAAATCTATTAGACTATAAAGAGAAAGAAGATTACACAATGATTTTAAATGTAAAATACTTTCGTTCTTTAATTCAAGCTGAAACCTAAGTAGGCTTTTTTATTTTAGAATGTGCTATGGGTAGCTAAAATTGAGACGGCATAACTGAAAAATAATAACTATTTTCAAAAGACAATCAAATGATATATATATAATATGCGTACCTGTGTTTGTAAGATAGCTCGTAATGATATACTCTTTCTACCACAAATATTCTCACAATCTGTAACAAAGTCTTCTACTAATCTTGATAGTGCTACAAATTCACTTAATGATAGCTTCTCTAAAAACCCATCCTACAATACAATAATATTAACCTTTATCACAATATCACTATTTCATTTGGGTGTGTGCTAAAGATAAAACAAGGGTATGTCTCTTTATGCTAATTCTGCGGACTCAAAAACTAGGACAAGAGACAATACTTGTCTCCATTCATATACGCTTATTTGAAGACATGTAGGGAAAACAAAAAACAGGTCAAAAACTGCACTGTCGTCCTACTTTTCTACACCATGTGGGCTAATGAAAACAGGCAACGCCATGCAGGGTGCAATGATGGATATTTTGCCAGGACAGCAGCATTAGCCTGCTTTTTTTTCGATTTCCATATATTGAGGGATCTTTAAGGTACACAGCTGTAGCAATTTTTTCCCATATTAAGCAAATTAATTTACATGTATCTTACCTTTGCTCTTGCTGAAAATACTCTGACACATCTATCATGAGCATAGTCACAAACAAAACATAACATATCATTTAAATTACCAATAGATTTCATATAATCACTATCACTTAATAGATTCATATCTACATCAGAGTCACTAGAAACAGAACATAACATATCATTTAAATTACCAATAGATTTCATATAATCACTATCACTTAATAGATTCATATCTACATCAGAGTCACTAGAAAAAGAACATAACATATAGATTTCATATATCACTATCACTATCACAAATATTCAAATATTCATTAAAGCCATTTGAAACAGAATACTAGATTTAATACTTTTTTATTGTTATGTACATTCAAATTTATTTTTTGTTTTAAAGGGATAAGTGTGTCATTTTTGGGAGGTTGATTTTAGTCTTGAATAGTCTTCAGAAGCACTTGAAATTTTATAAAAACCCATAATTCCTTCAAAAATACTTCAAACTAGGAATTTTACTCACTATATGTATATAAGTATATATTGTATTTATCAAAGAGTATCTTAAATTGACGAGTCGTCATTTTAACATTCAAATGCGGATAATTCTGGACACACATGGATTTGAAGGCTCAAATTTCAACGGTGAGCTGTGAACACTATAACTGATTGGCTTAGCTAAACAATTCCCGTTTCTGAGACTAAAGTATGATTGGTCAAATTAAATGTTGCATCTGTCCCTTTAACAGAAGGTAAGGGGTAGTCTGCAGTGTATAAATGATCTCTCCTCATTAATTTTTACGACCTAGTTGTTTAAAGATATCATCAATGCAACATAATTTATTTCTCTCTGTTTTTTATTACTAGGAAATTTAATACCTTATTTATGCAAACAAGAATTGGAAATGAAATGAAGTTTTTCATCCCACTTTTCTGCACCATGTGGGCTAATGAAGACAGGAAACAAGAATTGGAAAATCAAGGTAAGTTTAAATTCATGATTCACTGATGTTATTTTTGTGCTATATTGAGTTTTTGCTCTGGGATTTATTGATTACGAGAGCAAGTTACTAGTTTTGCCAATAGTTTTGAGATCAGGTTTCAACATTGGACTTTAGGCATATGATTTCACTGAACAGTAGTATTACTGGTATCTTGACCTATCATGTGATCAAGTCCCAGAATTTCAAGGATAGCAAGACAATTAAGAAGGTTTTGAAACTTACACTGGAACATTTATATGAGTAGGTTCTTGTAAATTAGGTTTATGTATAGGTGAAATAGTTGGACTGGGAGATTTAGTCCGTCCAGCAGATATACCAATAACATCACTAACTACACCACTAAATGCCTTCAAATTGAAAATAATAGAATTAAAAAGATTAATATATCATTTCTCCAACTTGAAATTCAAAGCAAATTGCTTAAGATCATTTTTAATAAAATTAAATAATTTTTTTTTTTTTTGTGATATTTATTTCGTGACCATTGTAATGTAACAAGTTTTCTACCATAGTCCTGTTCTAATGACATTATTTTTATTAACCAATCAAAGCATGTCATCTAAGACCTTTTATAAGTATAAGCAATATGACAGCCTCTTGGGTTTCCCTATCTCCAGTTCATCATTGTTATCAAAAACCAGGTCCTACATGGCACGCTTTGATTGGTTAAAAGTAATGACACCAGAACTGGAAGCAGAAAAAAACTGGTTAGATTACAATGGACACGAAAGATAAAGGAAAAAAGAAAGAAACAAAATTGTAAATTTATATTAGAATATCATAAACAGTGAAGTAGGCATATATCAAAATCACTACAATTCAAAAAAAATTTCAATATCTCAAAAAGTCTGATATGTTCAAACTATTTCAGTCACTTGTATACTATCAACAATTCTTACTGAAAGTTTGATAAAATTATTCATTAACCGGATTTCAATTAAGGCTTCATTCACACTCTTACCTTAGCTCTTTCTAATATTACTAATAAATTAGAAAATAAGTCTTTTAATAAATCAGTCCATTGAGGATAGTCTAATAATCTCATTTGGTCTCCCAGTCTGAAAATGAAAACAATATTTTTGTTATTATTTCAAAAATTTTAAAAGACAAGGTCAAAGGATTTTTTGACATTCTAAAAATTTTAAATGTAAGAAAAACCAATAAATATCTCTTAAAAACACCTCAGTCTTGAATATCATGAAGAAACTCAAGTCTTGAATATCATGAAAAAACTCAAGTCTTGAATATCATGAAAAAATATCTGTCTCAAATATTAAGTTACTTGTTAAAATCGTGTAGATAATCTTTTGTGGAAAAAAATTTGTTGATATATCATGGCGATATTTTGGTATTTTTTTTATAATTAAACAATATAACTAACAATATAAATTCCTATACCAGTATTTATCATGATACCGGTATATGATCCAGTCCTTATTGATTACAGTAACTTACTCTCTATTACTATACCAAATAACTGAAATTTCACATTTGTGGTTAAAGGAATACTACTTCTTAGAAAGCACATAAAATCAAATTCTCAAACTTGATCAGTGGACTTACAGAAATTGAATAAATCAATAACTATGTAATTTGAGGAAAATGCTAAACTAAAAATATTTTCATATATTGGAACGAGAAGAGATGTAATAAGTACTTTAAGTAAACTTACCCTCTTACAATACCATCACTATCTCCATCATCTAATACACATACATGTTCTACTACAGTCTAAAATATATAACCACATTTTTAGTCAAATTCTTACCAATTTTAAAACATCAGTCAAAATCAGTAATAATCTGATTCAAATACAAATGTTTCCTTGAGGACATAGAGATTAATTTTCATCAGCTTGAGAATCTTTACAAACTGGCTAAAAATTCTAAATTAAGTTTAAAATATTTGTTACCATGGCGAGCTCTGCTTATTCTGAATTTGTGGAACTAAGCGAAAGTCTAGAAAAAACATTTTAAACAGGGTTCAGAATATGTTCTACCTGTACCAAAAAAGTAGGTGTAGACAAAATTCAAAATGGTGGAGCAACACATGTATGAACCCTTCTCAAACGTTTATACTTCTTTTAATTTCACAATGAGCATTTAATATTTAATAAATTCTGTTTAAAGAGCAATAGAGAAGAGGGAAAGGACAAAAAGAACACCTACTTGTTTAACTATAGCTTTAATTGATGTAAAAGTTTCATCTTTAAAAGTGTCAATAAAACTAAAATTATTCTGTTTGAGCATTCCAAATACTATTGATACTAGCTTCTCCTGAAATAGAGGTTAGAAAAGCATTATTGCATCATGTCCAAACCACACCCCCATGTGTCATACTTCCTCGAAACTGTGGTAATACAAGTGAGAAAAATTATGTATTCATATCTAAATATCATCCAATCAAAATTGCCTCTACTGTCTTGGTAGCAAAATTTCAGCCAATCGAAACAAATGATGACGCCTTGTTTGCAAATGTAAACAAAACGAAAGCAGTGAGCCATTACATATTTTGATTGATATGTTTGGTACAGAATTGAGTAAGATTTTCGTTAAAGAATAGAACCGAGAGAAAAATCAAACCTTACTTTGGAATATTTATTTGGAAACATTGGGCCATATGCAGTACTCGTACTTTACCTACACTTTGACTAAAGTTAGACTTAAGTCGAACTTTAGGTATGCACCGGTCGATCTTTACGAAAGTCGAGCTTAAATTGGACTATCAAATGTAAAAAAAGAAAGCCTTACTCCTAACTTTGGTAAGTTTCACTTAGGCCAAAGTTAAACTTTAGTCAAGGTAAGAGTGCTGCATATGGCCCATTGTGTTCTTATCTCTACAAACAGCGGCAAAACTTTTTTTGTGTTTTGTTTACATGAACATGAACAAATACTTCAAACTAGGATTCTTACTCACTATTTCTATTATGTCTTTTCTATATATCACTGAGTATTTTAAAATGACAAGTCGTCATTTTAACATTCAAATGTAGATAATTCTGGACACACATAAGTTTGAAGCATTGAAAATGGTGGCAGTGATGCTAATAACAATATCACAGTATGATGATATTTCACTTTCAATGCTTATATCTATAACTCACTTTTCATTGACACAAAATGAAATATCAGTTTACATGCAGTTGAAATCTCAATCAAAGAATGTCATCAGGTGTGTCTTACCTCTTCAGCTAAACGTTGTAAATCAGTAACAGGTCTGTTGAGTTCCTCTGATATATATTTACAGAAATCAGCCTGTAACATTTTATCTATTAACTTTTCCAACTCGCTTAACTGAGAACCCAGGTGTCTAAATAGAAAACATAATATGTGTTTGATTTCTTAGGCTTCTTTTGAACATATTGATGATTTAATAATTCGTCTCCTCAACTATTGTTTACAGACTTTCTGTCAAGAGCTTTGATTGGCTAGACTGGCTTGCGCACAATACTATTAAATGGCTACATTCTGTGAAACAAGAACAGAAGCTTTTATAGTCTAGGTATAAGTACGAAGTTCGTAATAGCTTGACATTGTCAAAATAATGGCTTATTACCTACCTAAAACTGTGTATACCAGCTAAATGTTGATTTAAGATATCTTGTGTAGTTGATATAAGATCTAAGGCACCCACAAATTCATTAGTACCTAATAATGTTTGTATTATCTGTTGTGTTTGATGTATAGCTGACATACTTTTTAACTGAAATAAGTAAATAAATAAACTTGAGTGCATGTCTATTGTCAGAATTTAATCTAACAACAGAGTTGTGTACAATTGAGTACAAGAATTTGTTACCAATAATACCAAAGACATCATAAGATCACTTCCTTGAGTGGCATTTAGTAATTGATGATGTTAACATGAACACAATTATATGGATAACAATTACTTTAATAAATAACTTGCGACATTTCGACGATGATTC